AGCATCCCTGTGTGTGCTCCGGGGGCACGGGGTAGATAGTCCAGCATCCCTGTGTGTGCTCCGGGGGCACGGGGTGGACAGCACAGCAGTCCTGTGTGCTCCTGGACGGAGTGGCAGCGTGGAGTGGGGTGGCAGGCAGTGTTCCCTCTAATGTTTCCCACCCATGTGCAGAATGAATTTTGTTATGTGACACATCACCTCCAGGTTGGTGCACAGAACAAAATTCATGTGGCGTGGGTGGGGCTGAGGGGTTTGAAGTGTGGGCGGGGACTCAGGGCTGGGGCAGAGGGTTGGGGTGGGGGGGTGCGTGCTCTGGCTGGGGGTGTGGGCTCTGGGGTGGGGCTGGGGATGAGGGGTTTGGGGTGCAGGAGGGTACTCCGGGGCTACGGCGGGGAAAGAGGACTCCCCGCCCCCCAGCTCTCTCTCCCCACAGCAGCACCTGGGCTGGGGGGAGAGGTCCCTTTCTCCGCTGTGGCAGCTCCAGGGCTGGGGCCGCAGGATAGGCGCCCCTCCCCCAGCAGGTCCGGGCCAGGGTTGGGGCTGGGTTTGGCCTGGGGGAGGGGCGCCCTGGCTGGTCTGGGCACCCCGGCCGTGGCGGGCTGGGGGAGGGGTGTCCGGGCCACGGCAGGTTGGTGGCCGGGCTAGGTTGGGGCTGGGGGAGGGGTGCCCCTCCCCAGTTGTGGAAGTTCCCTGGCATGGGTTCCCTGAGCTGCTGCACGGTGGGACGCTTACAGGGAAGGTAGGTGACAGGGCACCCCGCGCCCTATCTCCCGTGCAAGGGTCTCATGGCCAGTGCTCCCAGGCACTGTGGGACCTCCTTTCCCACTGCACAGCTATGAGAAGCCCAGATGCCACGAGGATGGGCAGACAGCCAGACCTGGAGGGAGATCTGCTACTTCTCCCCCTCAGGTAGTCAGTGTCATTTGCCCTGTGGGGCCAGCCTGTCCCTGGGGCGTTCTAGAGCCAGGAGAGGAGAGGATCTCCCCAATCCCGACCTAGCCCAGAGTGTCACTGTGAGCAGGGCTGATATCGCGAGCCAGCCTCACCCTCCCGAGATCTCCGCCGGCCCCAGGCTTCCAGCAGGGCTCTCCATACAGATTCCCTACGCTGCGTAGGGCTCGTCAGGGGTCCCAGGACACAGCCTGCAGGCCAGCAGGGGCTGGCAGTGCCCAAGAGGCGATTCACTGTCGGCACCATCACTGCACCCAGTGCTGGGGTGGGCAGGAGTCCTGCTCACAGCCCGCTCCCTGCCTCCTCATTGCTTGACCTTCCCTTTGCAGATGCCTCCTAGATCTGCCCATCACCAGGCAAAAGGGGAGCGGCTCTCTGACACGCCTGTCGCTCTGCACATGACTCCCAGTGCCCCAGTATGGAGCTGCCCTGCTCTCCAGCTCCCTGCCCAGGGCTCTCGTGGACCAGCACATCCAGACTCCAGTCTCTCCCTGACCCCAATAAAACAGCCTCGTCCTGCAGCTCTGGTGGTCGTGTCTGCATCTTCTCCAGCTCTTTGGGCCAGGTACCTGGCCAGCTCTGATCCTGTGCCCATGTTTCCCCCGTACACCTGCCTCGCCCGTAGGCTCCAGTCCTGCACCCCTGCCTCACCACAGACATTGCACGTGTCCAAACCTGTGCTCACCAGCAATCTGCACCGTGCAAATGGCTGTTTGTCTTGCAAAATGGGTACACGCTCAATATACAGCTACACTCAGTTGCAGCTCGGTGTGCACAATCCAGGGCTGGGGCTGAGAATGTGCCCCGTGTCACCCTCCTGGTCCTGCCAGGCTAGGACAGGGCAGTTGCAGTTGGGCATCTTGCTCTCCCCCACGCACTGAGTTTGTCCAGCCCCCTCCTGCGCTGTAACCTCTGTCCGGCCCCTGGGCAGTAACGGTCGGAGGGCGGAGATATTCCCGGCATCGACTCTCTGTTGTAAGACACCGGGGCAGCGAGGGCTGGGACGGCCTCGGCATAGGCTCTTTGCACCCCTCGGGCAAATGCACTTCATTTGCAGCAGCCCCAAGTGGGGCCATGGAGCCCCATCGAGTGGAGTGGCCCTGAAGTAACGCAGCAGAAAACCCAGCCCTGCAGCTTCCAGCCCAACTCCAGCTCCTTGTGAACAGCTTGCCCCATGGGGCCTGGCACGCTGCCTGGCTGCGTGACTCCCCACGGCCAGGGCCTGGGGCGGGCAGACGCACTCCTGCCTTGGCAGAGCCTGAGCTGCTCTTTGCTGGCCCCGCTGGGCTGGGTCTGGGCCCCAGTCTCAGGCTTGGTCAGCGACACAGGGCACCTCACGTGCCTCACTCCCGGAACTCACTGCCCTGCCCCTCCGCCCGGGACAGCCGGTGGCCCTGCCTGCGGAACGCGCAGTTCTGCTCCTGGGGGCAAGCCAACAGCCAGGGGAGCAGGGGGCCAAGGACGGAGCCAGGCAGGGCGAGCAGCACCCAGTGCCAAAGGAATGAGGAAACCCGAACCCCTCCCATTGTTACCCGCCCTGCCTCTCATGCCCTGGGGCCCCACACTGTCAGCAGCCTGGCATGGCCCCAAAGGCGGCAGGGCTGGCTTTCTGGGCCGGCCTGGCTGTGGAGCTCTGCACGGGGCTGGATTCTGGCTCAGCAGGAGCACCCAAGGGATGCTGCCGGCAGCCCAGGTTCCCCCAGGAGCAGGACTGGTCATTCCCTCCCCTGCTGGGCGCTGCCTGTGTGATTCTCCCCGGGGCTGGATCTCAGGCCCAGCCGGGGCACACGTAGCCACGCTGGCTTGGTGCCCACCTGCCTCTGTGTGCACAGGAGCCGTTTGCAGGGAGAGGTGACACCTGCTGCTCATTCCCTCGTTCCACGGGGACCCGTCTGGACTCCAGGCGTCCAAGCTGTCCTGACCCCTGTACGTCTGGCTTTGCCTCACCTTCCCTGCTGCCAGGAGGGGGGGCTCGCACTTGCTTGGGCTTCAGGGGCCCTGACCACATGGGGAAAGGACTCCCCAGGCCTCAGACCACAGGGACGGAGACAGCTCTGGCACCTGCAAGGGCCACATCCAGAGGGCTGGGCTGCACCGGCCCCATGGCTGGGCACTGCCAGGGCCAGGCAGCAGGTCCACCCTTGCCAGGCTGGCCTCAGAGGGTCTGACTCACAGCCAAGGGATGAGCTGCGGGGCCCACTGGTCCTTCTCAGCCACACTGCCCAGCTACTCCCAGAAATACCACTGCCCACAAGTTCCACCCTTGCCCAGGCCCCCACCATCCCTGAGCACAGATACCCCCATCGCTCTGGCTGCCTGCAGGCCCAGCTGAGGCAGGGGAGTCATTCCGGTCTCTGCAGGGGCTCTGTCTCTGAGGAGGGTCTGGGGCTCAGTGCTAAAGGGGGCCTGGCTCTGATGCCCTGCACCTGTGGTGCGGTGGAGGAGCCCAGCACCCTGCCTGACCACGCCCCAGCGGGAGAGGAGAGTGTCCCAAGCTGGCTGGCAGCGCTGCATTGTTCTCTGCTCAGTGTTTGTTTAAACCGAGCCCCAGGCAGCAGGAGAGGCCGGGCCCCATTGCTGAAGCACACACTGGTCTCCTCTCTCCCTGGGATCAGAAGCCCCAGCCCCGGGGAGCTTGGACACCCTGGCACAGCGGGATGTGTGGGCTCAGGTCCCAGCTCTGCACACTGCTGGCATGGGCTGGGTGTATCAGAGACCTGCACTCTTGCTAATCGCAGGGGTGCAACATGGGCTGATGTGGGCACCAGACATGGGCGTGTCTGAGCCTCCGCTGGAAAGGGCCCTCCCTTAGCAGGTGGGGGGGGTGTCGCTGTGTGGCAGAGTCCCTCCCCTTGCCCCTGAGTAGGTGGGGGAGGGTCACTGCATGCCCAGGTCTCTGCCCTCTACGCCCATCCCTGCACAGTGGTCACACCAGCTACGCTCAGCGTGTGCTGCCAGGTGCAGATGGCGCTTGCCCCTTGCACGGGGCCCAGCAGAGCCCAGGCAGCAGAAAGGAGGAGGCCCCTGGGGCTGGGTTGGGATAGGCTGCAGGCACCAGCTGGCTGCCCCGTGTGACGAAGCGGGACTGTTCATGTTTCCTCTGAATAGTGTGGGGGTGCCTCAGTTTCCCCTAGGCAGTTCTTAAGTATCTAGGTGGTGGGATAAGTGTGTATGATCGTTGCAGAGCCCTAGAGGGCAGGTGTGTGCAGGGGTCTGGACACAGAGAATGGCCAACACCCTGTTTCCTGACATCCTGGACCCATGGCAAACACCCCGCTGGGGACGTCTCTTCCTAACCCCATCAGCAGGCAGGAAGAGTGCCAGGAGGCACCGGGATGGCTCTTGGCGAAGGTGGCGATGGCTTGGTGCAGGTATTTGAGGGCAGCTGTGCCCGGGGACCCTGAACACTCCATGGACCCTGAGTCATTTGCAGAGCCGCCTGGCAGTGCGGGTCTGGCTGGGCCCTGGTGTATCCTGACCACTTTGAATCCCGGCACGTGGCCCCCTTCACCCTGCAATCCAGCCAGGCTCCCCCTGCTCCCCCGTCCCACTCCACTGGCGTCTCTGCCAGGCAGCTCAACCGGGGCGGGGATTTCAGCTCCCACGGGAGGCGGGCAGAACAGGCTGCCACCACGACGCTTCCCGCCTGGAACGTGGCGAACACTCGCGAACGGCGCCCCCACGGCTTGCGGCCCTGGCACCATCACTGTCCAGCTAGATCCTGGCCAGCACGACCCAGGGAACCAGCCGCTTGGAATGGACAGCGCAGCTGGCCAGACAGAGCCGGTGTTCCCAGCGGGAAGATTCGCACCAGACACCTGGGGCCGGGAGTGGTGCAAGGTGCACCATGTGACTTGTATGCCCATCACAGCAGGCTGGCCTGGGGCAACCAAATGCTGGCATCAAAGCGTCGGAGGAGGCGCTCCAGACAGAGGAACGCAGTGGTGAGCAGGAGGGAGGCAGACTCCCTGGAGAGCGCTGTGGGCTGCCTGCCCAGCTCTGCTCCGACATCCGGATTAACATTGTGCTGAGCAGGCCCACAGCGCGGCCCCCGCTCCCAGCGCTGCTACTCCAGCCAACGCGCTGTGAATAGAATGAGCTGGACTCTGGCAGGTGAGCCAGCCCCTCCCTGGCCTGACCCAGCCCCCTCTGGGCCACAGCTTAAATCCTGGCCTGGCTCAGTTCCGGGCACTCAGACCCGGCTCCCGGCACACCATGGAGTCAGGAGGCATCTTCCTCCCCCTGGGGCTCCTGGCCGTCTGGGCCGCGCTGCCACCTGCGTGGGGGCAGGAGAAAGGAGGTTAGTAACAGACGAGTGCTGGATCTATGTAGCTTAACAACGGGGTGAGCTGATCCCCGTCTCTTGCGTACCGGCCTGGGGAACAAACATTCACTAAGGGGCTCTCCGGTCTAGCTGAGGAAAGTCCAACACTGTCCAGGGGCTGGAAGTGGAAGCGAGGCAAATTCAGACTGGAAATAGGGTGTTGTACATTTTTAACAGTGCCTGTTGGAACAGTCACCAGCATTTGTGGTGGATTCTCCATCACTGACCAGTTTTTAACTCCACTGGCTGGTTTTCTAACAGAGCCACGCTAGGAATTGTTTGGGAGCAGGTCCCTGGCCTGTGCTATACCGGAGGTGAGGCTAGATGATCAGTGGTTCCTTCTGGCTGGGAATCTATGCAGCTTTGAGTACAGAGAGTGGTCGCCTCCCAGCCCAGCAGACGCCACCTGTCCTCTCAGGTGGAGGCAGGTAGCTATGTTCTTATTCCTCAAACCATATAGCTGGGTCCACTCAGTGCAGCCACTCGCAGATGGGCTCCAGTCTCCTTTCTCTGCTACAGGTAAAGTGGGTGAATGTCCAGCAGGGAGGATTGAGTTTGTGCGTCCCTCCAGGATCTACTGTCTCTCAGACCGGAGCTGCCCAGGGAACGAGAAGTGCTGCAATACTGGGCATATGAGAACCTGTCTCCTCCCTGACAGAGGTATGTGCTGCTCTCCCTGATTGCCGAGGGACCCTCTGCAGAGACAGTGGGGGAGCGGCTCAGAGCATGGCAGCAGGGCAAGCAAACCGTGAGAATGGGCAGGGATGGAATGTAATACACAGGGACCATACAGGAGAGTAGTCGGTGTCTTTGGAGGACCATGGCCCTGCGCCATTGATTTATTCACCAAAGATACAGCTGGTACAACTGAAGTCACTAGATAGTGCTGTTTGCTTAGCCTGATGTTCTTGTTCTTAGTGCGCAAGCTGGGTATGGTCTTTGCACCGCAGGATTAGCAGCACAGCACTTCTTCCGTTTCCGTGGGGTGAGCTGCTGCAAATAGCAGGGGAGTTCGCCTCCGCCTTCATCTCTCACTAGAACCACCTCCTGGGCACTGGGGTTGGAGCTGAGTGCTCTAAAAGAGGAAGCAGCATGCATGCCCTTTGTGACCATCTCTGCTCCAGGACTGCTGTATGTACTATAAATAAACAAGCTCCACCCAGCACCCAGACTCTGCCTCCAGATTTCTCTTCCAATGGGAGACCAATCTGCAAGGCCCCAAAGCCTGCTACTGCTTGGCAAAGGGGCAGCCCAGCGGAGTGGCCAGCCCCGAGCAGGGCAGCAGACCCTCAGAGCGCTGGGGGGCCAACTGACAGGTGAGACTGTTCAGACAAGCTGGAGCGGCTTGGCTGGGATATCTAAGGTTGCAGAGCATCTAGTGCAAACTCGAGGGGCTGGAGCCATCAGCCCGGCAGCCTGTGCTCCCAGCTGGCTTTCCCGCCATTGAATGCACAGCCGGGGAAGCAGCAGAAGCCCCTGTGTTGTGCTACCCTCATCTTGCGTGTGTACGGGGACTCCGTTCCCAGCACACCCACTGAGGCGGCTGCAAGGGCCCCTTGGAGGGGCAAGCCCGCCTCTCCTGGGCACAGCGACTGCACTGTGCATCTCCTGTTCTGCAGTGAACCCAGGCTACTGCCCGGAGCCCAACACCAGGGTGGCGGAGCCCTGCCTGGTGAGCTGCCGGAATGACTCTGCGTGTGCCGGAGGGGCCAAGTGCTGTGCCGAGGGCTGCCATGTTCGCTGCACGAGTGCCCAGCCAGGTGAGGCCCATGGGAGCGCATGACCTCTTGGCTCTGTGATCCCCACCCCCAGCTGTGCCCGGGGCAGGCTGGTTGGCTGACTGATGTACAAGGAGGGCAGCGACAGGCCGTGACCAAGGGCCACCCTGCTGCTTCCCAGGGCACTGCCCAGCTGCTGCTGCCTGGGGAAAGATCCCGTCCCTGGGCCAGGCTGGAGCCACTGCACCCTCCGTGCAGACACAAGACAGGAATGGCCCCAGCCGGCCCCCACATGTGCCCTGCCCCCCCTCTCAGGAGAGATGCTGGCCAGGAGTGTCTGCACTGCCCACTGCTTATGGATCTAGACCCCAGTGTGCTTTGGCACGGGCTGTGGGAGCCGCTGAGCAGCAGCCTGGGCCTGGCCCCAGATGAAGGCCCTGACGTTCCAGCCAATGGCCTGCAGCTCCGAACTTGTCCCTCCCCGGGGGACCCAGTGGGAGGGAATCGCCCCGGGACAGCAGTGCTGCCCATGGGCCGGGCTGAGTGTGGCATGTTCCCTGCACCCACAGGTGTCACTGCCCCTCTCGATCTCACACCCAGCACTGCTCTGCGTGGCATAACGACTGCCCTATAGCCAGGGGGAGAAGGGTCAGGAAGTGAGGGCAGAGACCCTGGCACCACGTAAAAGCCTGGGGCAGGGGGCACAGGGACGGGGCAGGGCAGGCTCTGGGGCAGCGGGTACGGCCTTCTCTCCCGGCTGGCTGTGGCCCGGAGAGCTCTCCAGGCAGGCCTGGGGTCGGACAGCTGGCGGGGCTGGGGGTTGGGTGCTTATGTCTCTGCTGAGCTGCACCCTGCGCTGCCGTCTCGCTTCCAGCCAAGCCTGGCGCCTGCCCACAGAGACGAGTGTCGCAGGATTTCACTCCTTGCACAAACCAGTGCGACGACGACAGGCACTGCCCCGAGGGCCAGAAATGCTGCTTTGCTGGCTGCGGCCTGGTCTGCATGAGCCCCTACACAGGTACCAGCGCGAATCTGACCCACTCTGACGAAGTGGGACTGTTCTTAATGTTTCCTCTGAATAGTGTGGGGGTGCCTCAGTTTCCCCTAGGCAGTTCTTAAGAATCTAGGGGGTGGGGTAAGGGTGTATGATCATTGCAGAGCCCTAGAGGGCAGGTGTGTGCAGGGGTCTGGACACAGAGAATGGCCGACACCCTGTTTCCTGGCAACGGATGGCCTGGGCCCTTCCCCCCTGCAAGGTGAGAGCTAAAGGGTTGGAGATCAAAGGAATCCGGTGACCTCCTGGCCCGGGAAGGGGACAAAGCCCAGAGGAGGAGGGGCTGGAGGGAGTTTCAGTTTGGGGCTGGCTGGGGACATGGAGTGAAGGGCAGATGGAGTTGTCTGGCTCACTGCCCCCCAAAATGGACCCAGCTGAGGGGTCCGGTTCTCTGCACCTGCAAACTCTGTGTTAGATCCTGTTCCTGTCGTCTAATAAACCTTCTGTTTTACTGGCTGGCTGAGAGTCCCGTCTGACTGCGGAGTTGGGGGGCAGGACCCTCTGGCTTCCCCAGGAGCCCCGCCTGGGCGGACTCGCTGTGGATGCTGAATGCTCCGAGGTCAGACCCAGGAAGGTGGAAGTTGTGTGAGCTTGTGTCCTGCAGACAGGCTGCTCACAGAGAGGAGACTTCCCCAGAGTCCTGCCTGGCTTCGTGGGGAGCAGTTCCAGAGCATCGCCCGGGGACTCCGTGACACCCATGCACGGCTGCTGCCCAGCAGGATCCCAGCCCAGGGATCCTGCTTGGCAGCACCCCCCTCCACACTCACCCCAGCAGCTGGCTCCATGCACACTGGTCCCAGGAGCGGGTCCTAATCCCATCCAGCTCACGCATGAGTGCAGAGGCCTCCCATGCTGGGGCTGCACGCGCTGGGGTCTCCATCCCATGAGCCCAGATACAGCTCCCAGGCACACATCCACACGCATGTGCACACCCAGACACACACGTCACGTGGGTCTGGCTCACCCGGTGCTAAGGGAAAGCCGGGCCCCTCTGCGCCGCCCCAGGCAGGCCGTGCTCAGGCCCCCTCTTTCCCCAGAGAAGGCCGGCGTGTGCCCCGCCGTGCAGCTGGAGCAGCCCGAGGGGCTGTGCCTGGACGCGTGTGTGGACGACGCTGACTGCCCCGGAGACGAGAAGTGCTGTGCCACAGGCTGTGGGTACAAGTGCCGAGTGCCCCTTGCAGGTACGCCCCCTCCCGGAGCCCAGCCCCTGCTCCGCAGCCCACGTGCCGGGGGTGCCCAGCCACCCGGCACCACCAGGTGAGGCTGGGAGCCCGCTGAGCTGGCAGGAATCCCGCTCTAGGACCCCGCTGAGCGGCCTTCGCGATGGGCTCTGGGCCAGGCGGGGGTATGTGGCAGTGACTGGGACGCGCTTCTGGACCTCTTAATAAAGAACAAGGGGAAACCCAGCCACCTCGGCAATGAATCAGCTCAATAAAATAGGGAAGGACCCGCCCCCAGCCGGAGCCAGCCCCGAACGGAGGGTTAGGGCCAGCCCAGGCCAGGCGAGTGCATCACGCTCCTCCTCTGGCCGCTGGCCGGGGCCAGGCGGGACGCTGGGCTGGCCGGGCCTGGGCTGAGCCGTCTGGCACCCACGGGCGACGTGGGCAGCAGGCTGGGAAATAGCCAACAGGGCAGGAGCGGACGGTGGGGTCTGCGGGCAGGGAGCCCAGAGAGCAGGCGGCCGGCCAGCGTGTCAGCGGGTCCAGGGGCCGGTCGGCTGTCTCCAGGCGGCCAGGCAGGGGACCCTGCTCTGTGTTCCAGTGCGGCCCGGCGTGTGCCCAGCCGTAGCCCAGCGGTTTCTCGTCTCGTGCCTGCGGATGTGTCGGAGCGACAGGGACTGCCCCGCCGCGAGGAAATGCTGCAGCAATGGCTGTGGGCGGCTCTGCATGGTGCCCGTGCTCGGTAAGGTCATGCCCTCTTCCCACGTCCATCACTGACCCCGCGTTGGCTCCCAGCCCTGTGGGGCAGCGACCTTCCCGCAGCCTGTTCATGCCACTCAGCAGACGGGCGGCTGGACCGGGGCCTGTCTTTGCCCCGCCCCTCGCTCCACGCTCTGCCCTGTCTTTCCCTGCATTGCAGTGAAGCCTGGCCTGTGCCCAGCTCAAGCCCCCGAGGGCAGCGAGGACCCATGTTTTTTTCGATGCCTGAAGGACAGTGACTGTCCAGGGAACGGGAAGTGCTGCTTGATCCACTGTGGCCGCGCCTGCCTCTCCCCGACGCAGGGTAAGAGCTCTCGGGACGTCCCGGGGGCGATGGCCTTGGACCGGAGCAGGTGCTGATCACTGGTCAATGAGGGGCCAGGACCCCACCCCCAGACCTGCCCTGCAGGATCCCGGCCTCCCCAGGGGCTCAGAGGCTCAGCGGAGGCTGGTCTGGATGTTGCTCCCCGGAGCGGGACCTGCACGGGAAGGTTATGGCTGGGGCACGGAGCGGGTGAGTGCTGAAGACAGCAGCTGAGAGCGGAAAGGGCAGCGTCTGTGGGCGCAGGGAGCCAGGGGGGCCCATGGGGAAGGCGGGACACGAGCAGGGAGCTGTGGAGACCACACCACAGGGCATCAGTAGAGACCGGGGTCTCCCTGGCCTCTCCAGCCTGGTGCTTTGTGCATCCCCTCAGCCCTAGGAGGGGTGGTGGGGCTCCGGCAGGAGGAGGGATTAGAGCTTTGGCAAGCGGAGGTCGGGGGGCTCCAGTGGGCGCAGGTGGGGGGGCCTCTGGCAGGCGGGGGGTTCCAGCAGGCAGGGGGGTGCAGCGGGCAGAGGTGGGGGTGCTCCAGCGGGCACGGGGGGTCGAGTGGGTGGAGGTGGGGGGGCCTCTGGCGGACAGGGGGGCTCCTGCAGGCGGGGTCCAACGCTGCGGCTCTTGTGCGTTGCAGTGAAGCCCGGCGCGTGCCCAGCAGCGCTCAGAGGCTCCCTGGGGCCCTGCGTGGAGGGATGCCGCAGCGACAGCGACTGCAGCAAAGCGGAGAAGTGCTGCAGCACCGGCTGCGGCCATGTCTGCAAGCCACCCAGCGAGGGTAAGGGGGCCTGAGAGACACCTGCCTCCCCTGTCCTGCGGAGGGCTGCCAACTTCCTAATCCCACAAAGCCAAACAGCCTTGCCCCGCCCTCGCTCACTCCATCCCCCTCTTTGTCGCTCGCTCTCCCCCATCCTCACTCACTCGCTCCTTTTGACCGGGCTGGGGAAGGAGCTTGGGGTGCAGGAGGGGGGGAAGGCTCTATCTGGGGGTGCGAGCTCTGGGGTGGGGACAGAAATTAGGGGTTCAGGGTGTGGGAGAGGGGTTCAGGGCTGGGACGGAGTTTGGGTGTGGGAGGGGGCGTGGGGTGTGGGGTGCGGGCTCCAGGCAGCACTTGCCTTGTGGGGTTCCCCAGAAGCAGCAACATGTTCCTCGGCTCCTAGGCATCGGGGCGGCCAGGTGGCTCTGCACGGTGCGCACTGCATCCGCCCAGAGGCACTGCACTGCAGTTCCCATTGGCTGCAGTTCCCAGCCAATTGCAGCTGCGGAGCCATCACGCAGGGCAGGGTGGGGGCAATGAGCGCAGCCCCCCCAGCCGTCCCTCCGCCTAGGAGCCGAGGAATATGTTGCTGCTTCCAGGAGCTGTGCGGAGCCGGGAAGGGAGCCTGCCAGCCCCGCCAACCAGACTTTTAACGGCCCAGTCAGCTGTGCTGCCCGGAGCCATAAGGGTCGCTTTTTGACCAGGCATTCCAGTCAAAAACCAGGCACCTGGCAACCTTGCTCGTCCCCTCAAGGCCAAGGCTGCACCCTCCATTCGCCGGGAGAGCCATGCTGGCCTCTGGCTGGGGTCCCTGAACTCCACCTGCAGAGCCCTTCCTCCCCACTGCCACGTGCAGCCCCGGCAGGACCCTGCCCCTGGCCCCTGGGGAGCAGCGAGAGCCTCTGTGGAGTCCCCCCTCTCTGGAACCCCCTCTCTCTGCCTGGGCACCCAGATATCTGCCAGCTCCCTGCCGAGATGGGCATCTGTGACGCCGACCTCCCTCGCTTCTTCTACAACACCAGCTCCGGGAAGTGTGACAGATTCATCTACGGGGGCTGCCAGGGGAACCCCAACAACTTCGAGGGGGAAGCGGAGTGTCTCCAGGCCTGCGGGGGCCCCGGTAAGGGACACAGGGCGCCAGACAGCCAGCCTGGGCCGGTGCCGGAGGCCCACCAAGGCTGAGCCCAAGGAGGTGGGGGAGAATCTACAGGCCCTGGCCTGCCAGCCTCCCTGGTCCTGGTTCCTCTATCCCAGCCACTAGTGAGCAGGGCCCCAGCCCCCTTGGCTCAGGAAAGGCTGCAACAGATGCAGAGAGGAGGGCAGGGAAGCCAGGATCTGCGGGATCCCGGGGGAGCCGCTCCCGTTGGGCAGAGGGGCTTGCGCTGCTCCCCCTGGGAAAGAGACGCATGGAGGGCGACAGGACGGAGGGCCACAGGGCAGAGGCGACGGCTCATCCCGTCTTCCCCGAGTCCAGTGATTGAACCAGAGGGGTGGGAATTAATAGGGATGAGGGGGCTGACAGCCCAGGGGGCTGGGGTTTCACCCCTCCCCTGGAAGACTCTGACGCTGGCTGCTGTCCCTGAGGGGCAGGGAGCCAGAGCAGGGCAAGGCAGGGCTGAATGGGCCCAGATGTTCCTGTGGGGCCCGAAGCTGCTCTGGGCTGGGTGGGTCTGAGGGGGCCTCGAGGAGGGCAGGGCCCACGGGGGTGTTCCCCACCCCAGCCAGCCCTTGAACTGTCTCTCTGTGTCTGCCCAGTGAGGCCGGGGGTCTGCCCTGCCCGGGCCGGAGAGGGCCAGGCTGACGAGTGCGTCTCGCCGTGCTCCAAGGACAGCGACTGCCCCGCCAGCGAGAAGTGTTGTCTCCGGAGCTGTGGCCGGGCCTGTGCCCCGCCCGTGCAGGGTGAGGTGCTGCCTGCCCCGGGGGACACTGCCAGGGCCCCTGCGCGCGCGGGAGGGCCCCGCTCCAGCCCACCCACGAGGGAGTGGGGGGCATCTGTGTCCGTGCAGGGAGGAGGAATCCGAGCTGGGGCCCCAGCCCCATTGAGCCCCCGCACTGACCCCGGCTCTGCCCGGGCCCAGGGGCGCTGCGGGAGCCCGAAGGGGGCAGGGCTCTCTGTGCCTGGCTGCGCTGCCGTGGGGCCCGGGGGCTCGGCCCAGGCTTCTCTACCCCCGTTCTCGCTGTTGCAGTGAAGCTGGGCCGGTGCCGCAGGACGCTGTTCGTGTGCACGGGGGTCATCACCGCCGAATGCGACTCCGACGCCGAGTGCCCCGGCTCGCACAAGTGCTGCCCAGTCGGCTGTGCCAGGAAGTGCGCCCCTGCTGAGACAGGTACGGGGCCCCTCTCTCCCCCTCCTCGCCCAGCGCCGGCTCAGCCAGGGTCTCACGGGAGGGCGTGCCAGACCCAGACCGGGGCTACAGCAGAGATCCCAGCACAGGCCCTAGCTTGTGTGCAGGGGACACAAGGTGCCGCTGCACCAGGGAAGGACCTGGGAACCCCGCGCCCTCCTCAGGACACTAGGATGCTGGCCCCACGCCATCGCACAGCTCCCGCCAAGGGTGGCTCTGGGCTGGCATGGGGGCCAGGTTCCCCACGAGTCTCTGGGACCTGGGAGCCGTAGCAGAGCCTGTGGCTATGCAATAGGAGGCTGTGGGCTCAGAGATGGTGTCACAGAGTCCCTGGGCGCTGGAGCTGCTCCCTGCGAAGCCAGTCAGGACTCTGGGGAAGTCTCTTTCTGGGAGCAGCCTGTCTGCAGGACACACAGCTCACACAGCTTCCACCTTCCTGGGTCTGACCTTGGAGCATTCAGCATCCTCTGCCCCTCCGTGCGCTACCCACAGCGAGTCCGCCCAGGCGGGGTCCTGGGGAAGCCAGAGGGTCCTGCCCCCCAACTCCGCAGTCAGACGTGACTCTCAGCCAGCCAGTAAAACAGAAGGTTTATTAGACGACAGGAACATGGTCTAAAACAGAGCTTGCAGGTGCAGAGAACAGGACCCCTCAGCTGGGTCCATTTTGGGGGGCAGTGAGCCAGACAACCACGTCCGCACTTCACTCCTCGTCCCCAACTGTCTCCCCCTCCAGCCCCTCCTCCTCTGGGCTTTGTCCCTTTCCCGGGCCAGGAGGTCACCTGATTCCTTTGTTCTCCAACCCTTTAGCTCTCACCTTGCAGGGGGGAAGGGCCCAGGCCATCAGTTGCCAGGAAACAGGGTGTCGGCCATTCTCTGTGTCTAGACCCCTGCACACACCTGCCCTCTAGGGCTCTGCAAGGATCATACACCCTTACCCCACCCCCTAGATACTTAAGAACTGCATAGGGGAAACTGAGGCACCCCCACACTATTCAGAGGAAACATTAAGAACAGTCCCGCTTCATCACAGATGGCAGCCAGATTTGGGACCATACCCCAAAGCCGCCCCACCTCTCTCCCCCCCAGCCACTGCTCACTGTCACGTTTCCTCGGGCAGCTGTACCTGACCCCCTCAGAACTCCAAGCTTCACCTTTCTTGGGGCAGGGTTCTGCCATCCTCTCCCCAGACAGGGCCTGAGGCTGCAGACGGCAGCGAATCACTGCGTGCTCTGCTGGCCGGTGGCAGCTCAGGCCCCTGGGAGCCGTGGCGGGGTCACCCAGCGATCTGCCGGCTCTCTGCCAGCAAAGCTCTCGTTATTCAGCACAAACGCACTTCGGCGAAAACTGGTCTCAAAGGAGTAAGCAGCATAGGCGCCCCTCTGCCCTGTGGGGACCTAGGCAGGTCTGACAGTCCATCAGGTGCTCCTGTCTCTCATCACCCGCTCCGGTCAGTTGCCACCTAGAGGAGGATGAGCCCTGCTCTGCTCAGCGCTGATGTTCAGTGTCTCCAAGCCCCCAGGTCAGACCAGGGAAGCTGTTTCCTGGCAGGGAGACATACCCAGGGGCAGGGAGTCAGTTACCCCCACTGACTTTAGGCTTGCAGGAAACCTCCTTTATCTGGCACGAGCCGGCAGTGCAACCACGAGCCAGCCCAGACACACACACAGAGCATGGCACCCGCACACAGTAGGCTTCGCGCACAGCAGGTACCCCTTGCGCCTGTCACAACTGCAACTCCCTCCTTTCTCCTCCCAGCGCCCAGAGGCAGCGACAGCCTCCTCCCTGCCCGTGACTGGGGTAAGTGACACTGTCGAGGCGAGAGTGGGGCTAACGGGCAAGCCATGTGCCCCCGAGTGTCTGTGGAAGACAGGTAGAGGGCGCCTCTGGGATGAGACAGGGGTGGGGGGAATCTTCTATCTGAACTCTCCTCTCCAGGCTGTGGCATCCCCAGGGTCTCTGCCAGTTCTCGTGCCCTTTCCACTATCAACCCCTCCCTCCATGTGGGCAGGCCAGCATGGCTCTGTGCAGCCCATCCTGCTCAGCCATGACACCAGGCTCTTGTTCCTCCCCCCGAGGGGGGCATGCTGCCTCTGTAACTCTCCCGCCCCTGCCAGCCCGGGCAGCCAGCTCCCACCCCAGCCAGCCCAGACAGTCAGCTCCCACTCCAGACAGCCAGTTCCCACCCCTGCTAGCCCAGGCAGCCAGCCGGACAGCTAACGGGGAACAGCAATCTGCTAACCCTCCGCACCCACGGGCTGTTTACACCAGGGACCCTCTCTGTTGCAGTGAGACCTGGGACCTGCCCCCCTGATCCGGTCCGATGTGCCCACTCAGCACCGGCCCACTGCTCCGGTGACCCCGAGTGCCCGGGAATGCGGAAGTGCTGCTATATCGCATGCAGATTCCGCTGCGTTGACCCGGCACAAGGTACCAGAGACGGCGAGTGGTTATGCGTGTCTCAGGCAGTGAGAGCGCCCGGCACCGGCTGAGCTGGGGTCCCCTTGGGACGGGTGCGCCAGCCCCCGGCTGCAGACAGATCGCTGCACTGCACCAGCCCCAGCAAACCAGGGAGGGACCCAAGTACCTGGTACCTTCCCAGCTGCCCCACGCCCATGACACTGGGGACGGGCTGGGGCTGAGCCTGACTCTCCCCCATCACAAATTCCCCCCTCGGGCAGGCTGCGGCTGCCTGCGAACCTGAGCCCTGCAGGAGCCCGCAGCGTCCCCCAGCTGCTCCGCTGCAGCCTGTTGTGGGCTGCCCAGGGAACTGTGTGTGTCTGTGCAGCCCTGAGCCCTGCTCTGCAAAGAGCCACCCAGCTGGAGCGACAAACTGTAACGGGGGCTCCAGGCTGAGTGGATAACGGGTGACACACACACACCCCCCCTGAGCATGTCTCTTGCTTGCAGAGAAGCCCGGCTATTGCCCGGTCCTCATGCCCGCAGGCCTGAACTTCAGTAAGAGCTGCCGCCCCTGCCTGGCGAACAGATCCTGCTCCACCTGCTTTCGGGATGCGGATTGCCCAGGCCCGGAGAAGTGCTGCCCAGGCCGGTGCGGAACCCGCTGCTCGGAGCCCGTTTCCAGTAAGAGAACATACGGCCGGCCACACAGAGCCAGGCCAGTGACCCCACTAGTTCCGTACCCTGTCCTGACAGAGGCCAGGCCCAGCTTCTGGCAGTTAGGGGTTTAGGGACACCCGAGCATGGGGTCACCTCCCTGACCATCTTGGCTAATGGCCACCGATGGACCTAACCTCCAGGAACGTATGTAATTCTTTGTTGAACCCTGTTATACTTTTGGCTTTCACAGAGTCCCCTGGCAGTGAGTTCCACAGGTTGATTGTGCACTGTGTGAAGAAATACTTCCTTCTGTTTGTTTTAAACCTGCTGCCTAGTAATTTCATTGGGTGAACCCTGGTTCCTATGTTATGGGAAGGGGTAACTAACACTTCCCTAGTCACTTTCTCTGCTCCATTCATGAGTTTATAGATCTCTATCTATCCCCACTCAGTTGCCTCTTTTCCAAACTGAGCAGTCCCAGGAGGCACCAGCCTGGCCCGAGCAGAGGACACCTGCAGCAGGGTGTGCATCCCTCGCCCCCCACCTCCTCCCCATCCCTGAGCGGCAAGACTCAGAAACTGGGGCCCAGGGGGCAGGGCAGGACCCCCAGAGCACAGCGCCCTGCCCGACAGGCAGAGGCGGCGCTGGGAGCCCGCAGAGCATTGAGCTCAGCGCCCTGGGGCAGCAGGGAGAGGCCACTAGCCCTGCCGTGCTTGGCTGTGACCGCGGGGCATGGAGCCGTGTCGGAGACAGAGAGCGACAGGCCCCGGCTGTGCCGCATGGAGTCACGTCCCCTGCACTCCCTCCGCTCTGCTCTGCATCCCCAGACTTCTGCCAGCTCAGCCCCGACATTGGGCCCTGCAAAGCCTGGGTCCCTCGGCTCTTCTACAACTCCAGCTCCAGGCACTGCGAGCTGTTTATCTACGGCGGCTGCCAGGGGAACCAGAACAACTTTGCTGTGGAAGAGGAGTGTCTGCAGGCCTGCGGGCCCCCTGGTGAGAGCAGGGCCTGGCGGGGGGGAGTTTGAGCTCGCTCTGTAGGGGCATCCTCCTCCAGGCAGTCCGCACGGCACTGCCGGGCACTCTGTTCTCTGTTCTAGACATCTGCAAACTGCCCCCTGAAGCGGGACCCTGCGACGCCACATTGCCCCGGTTCGTCTACAACGCTGAGGCCGGGCGGTGTGACAGGTTCACGTACGGCGGCTGCGACGGCAACAGGAACAACTTTGAGACGGAAGCCACGTGTCTCCAGGCCTGCGCAGGCCACGGTGAGGTGTCAGCTCAGCGGCTGGGGCCCCGAGCCCTCCCATCGGGCCGCCAGCTTGGCCAAGCTGCGGGTTTGGTCAGTGGCTCAGCCACTTCCCTCAGAAAGTCCCTCCAGAACTTGGGGTTCTCTTCTGAGCCTGGGGCCTCACAGACCTGCCTTCTGGACACATCGGTCTCGAAGCCTCCCCGCTAGCCCTGCCAGGGCGAGGGCCCTCTTGGACCCCGTCTGTGGGCAAGGCCTATGAATGACGTTAGCTGGCCTCTCTGCAGTGTCTGGACCCTCCTCCCTTGCTCCCTGGAGACCCACTGAACCCACTGACTGGCACAGGCTCCCTGCTGCTGACGCACTCGGGCCCCTCTGACTGTTTGCTCTTTAGGGTTCCCCTTAGCCCCCCTAATCGCCCACACCCATTCGAGCTGCCTGCCGACCCCAGGTGGGCCCAGAGGGGCTGAGATTCCCCAGCTGGCTGGGGAGCAGGAGTCCTGTGCCCTGGGCTCTGGCCTGTCCTCGGCCCTGCCCCAACCACTTTCTCCTTCTCTTTCAGGCGTGGCCTAGCCCTGGCCAGAATGGGGCTCCATGGGGAAGCTGCAGTCCCTGGGGACCAGTCCCATTCACCCAACATGACCCTTTGATGCAATGCTCTTCTGCTGTCAAGTCCCTGTCCTGTGTGGAAATAGGTTTTTCTGCATGTGCTTCTCACAAACTTGTTACTGTGTCCCTGGGGTAATGGGGTCTCACCGGAGGTGCTTGCATTGTTACAGATAAAGGGATGTGGCTGATTCAAACCTGTTCCCCCTCTAGTCTGGATCATTAGCCGGTGTCTGAAATGCAGAACAACATTTCCACACTGTGCCTGCAACAGCCTGCCCCTGGCACTCCCCACCTCCACCCCATCAGGCACCGATCGGCAGGGTTTGCTCCTGTGCACTGGAATCTCGGTGTGGCCCAGTCAGACTCACGCAGTGCATTGCACGTGCCTGTGGAGATGTGACCAGCCCAGGGGAGAGATTTAGCTGCTTGGAGCAGGGCCTGTGTCTTCCCCTGGCCCCACTCAGAGCGGAGCCCTGAGAGTTGCACAAAGAATAGAATCGGGGTGGGCCGCCCTTTGCCCTGCAGGATTATTTTGTCTCCCATTTTCTCAGATTTTTTCAGATGCTTTTATAGAATGCGGGTGCATTTGCAACACAATTTGCATACACAATTCCTACAGTTACATGCACAAGCATGGTAAATGCAGCTAGATGCCCTGCCAGCTATTTGCCTGGGCACTTATCACCACTGAACATGCATCCTAACACCTGGGCCCAATGGCACCCCCTCTTATTCTTCATCCACGGGCAAGGAGAGGCTGGGGAAGGGTGCTTGCGTTCCGCACAGTTGGCTGGATTGTCTCTACCTCCTTCCAGCATGACACCTCTCAGCCCCTGGGCAGTAGCAATCCGATGGCTGAGGTGCTCCCTCGGGATGGTGTCTCAGGCAGACACCGGGTCTCTGCTGCAGGGGGTCAGCCTGAGATCACACAGACAGTGGGGCCATGACCCTGTCATTCAGGATCACTGCACACAGGAAAGGCTTCGTTTGCACCTTACAGGATTGAAACAGGATCCGGATGCAGATCTGCTGGTGTCTCATGCGCTACCCATTTGGGGTGACTCCCAGGGTCGGCAGGCCCCACTCCCCCATACCAGAGTCTGACCTGTGTGGTCCAAGCTCAGACCATCCACACACCCAAAGCTCTGGCACATGCTTTGCCAAACTGAGGCCAAACATTTCCCAAGAGGCCAAGGAAACCGTTTTTGCTCCCATGATGTCTCTGTTCTGTGACACCATTTCATGTCTCCTCCAAGGCCCTTCAGGCCTGGCCGCGAACATTACGCTTCTCAGCTGTCATGTTAAAGGGCCCCAGATCACTTTGGTCTTTGTTTCAGTTCTGTTTATTGAGGATTTTCCATATTCACTGAACCCCGAGCGAACAGAGAGACAATATAATACAGCAGTGCAGGACTCCCCAGTAGACAAGCGTATGGCATGTCAGAGTTTAACCCAAATCCTTATCGTTGCTGAGCCCCTAAGGGAGAGCAATGGGGCTGGAGCAGAAATGGGGGATCGGCACGAGAGCAGAGGGGGATCCAGGCAAAGGGGCTGCCTGAGACCTGCGCTGGGCACCAGGGCCTGCGCTGCCGCAGTGGGGCTCTGCCCTGACCCCAGGACATGGAGCAGCAGGCCCAGGCTGCAGATGGTCATGCTGACATGCACCCCGCGGCTCGCCGGCCGATAAGCCTGTTGACACAATCTGGCAGGGAATCCAGCACGGGATTCTGCGAACTCCCCGTCCTGTGTTTGTGCTGCTCCCAGGCTTGGCACTGGCTGGAAGCTGGCCTCTGGCAGGATGCTACAGGTCACCATGTGGGAGCCAGCCCTTCCCCCTGCTGGCCCTGCCCCACCCATGCAGGGTTTAAATCCCCACCTAGCTCAGCCCTGGGTGCTCAGAGATAGCCCCTGACAGCACCATGAAGTCAGGTACCATCTTCCTTCTCCTGGGGCTCCTGGCCCTGGGGAACGCCACATGGAAGAAGGAGAAAAGTGGTGAGTGGTTTGCCCTGTTCCTCTGGCCCAGGGCAGCTGGGGTGGATGTGGGGGATCTAGAGCCCAGCACCAGCTTGGCTGTCGATGGCTGGCTAATGAAGAGCTCCATGGCCATAGCCCTGCGTGGCGCTGATGTGGGCTCAGAGGAGGAACAGCCACATGCTGCCCATGGAAATCCACCCTGCCTATAGGGCTGCTTTCCAGCTGGGCCCTTGCCCAGGGACCGGGCCATGCATGCTATAAGATCTGCACGAGCATACTCGGAACATGTACAGTACGCAGCCCCGGTGCACGGCCATTAGGCTATGCAAGTGCCCACAGGTATTTACATCCATTAAGTTGCAGGTGGAACAGCGAGGCCAGGGTTTGAAAACCTCAGCCCCAAGCCTCCCCACCCCCAGGACTGGCTGTGCTGACAGCTGATGTCAGGTCTGGGTGGCATGGCACCAGCTCAACCTGGTAAGGCCGGTTTTTAAGAGGCACAGACATTTTTGCCGCCTGGCTTCACCCCCTGCTCAGAGCAGGGAACAGCACAATGCTGTAAACATGGGAGGTCTGTCCATGCTCCAGCTGCCAGCCTGGCTTCCCCAGCTGAGCTGCACCAGGGAAGAGGCTCTTCCGGGTTTCAGAGGGAAAGACCTGACTAAACAGCAGCGGTAATGTGGATTTCGCACTCAGCCGTGCTAATGTCACCAAAGTGAAATGACTAAAGGTGGCTGCAAAGCTCTGATCTGTAACCGGTGCAGGAACAACAAAACAGCTGTCCGTGTGCCTGGAGAATCGCGAAGATATTGGCTGTATTTAAGAAAGGGGAAGAAAGTGATCCTCACAAATACAGCCCCTTTAGCCTGACCTCTGCAGAACACAAGGGTTTAGAACACATTGTGAAGGAAAGAATAAAGACGTGGAGGTAAATGAGATAAAATGCACCACGGGTTTACCAACGGCAGATCGTGCCTGACTAACCTGGTGTCTTTCTTTGATAAGAGACCTGATTCTCTAGAGGAGGGAAATGTGGAAGATCTAATCTAGCTGGACGTCAGTAAACGATGCAGGTGGGAAATTCCTAGTTAACTGGAGAAGACGGGATTAGCACAGAACTGGCGTGGGCAAGGAGCTGACGAAAGGGGAGATGGCCACGGGTTGTGCTGGAAGGGGGAGGGCCGGGCTGGAGGGAGGTTCCTGGTGGTGTTCCTCTCGGATCAGTCTTGGGACCACTCTTATTGGCTGTTTTGATTGGTGACCTTGGCACAGGAAGTAGGAGTGAGCTAATGAAATTTGCTGAGGACACAAAGTTGAGCCATTTTGTTTCAAATGTAGCTACGAACAAAAGTAAAGGTAAAACCAGCTGGAAACCGAAGGTTTTGCTCCACCTGAAACGACAGTCTGTGTGTGTGTCTTGGCCACTGAATCCAAAGCTCCATCGTTCACCCAGCACGAGCCCGAAGGTAGCACAGCGCGAGAGTCAGAGGCAGCGCAGTGGCTGAGGGGCTGGGTCCTGCTGCCACTGATGTCGGGGAGCAGGATCAGGCCCTTCCGTCTCCCGTGCGCATCAGACATTGGCCAGGCAGCAGGTTCTTCCCTGGCGAAACCCCAGGGGGGCCCACAGGACATTAGGGTGAACTCTGAACAGCTCCGCTCGACCGCCTGCGGCCTGGGAGAGACAACGCTGGCCTGTTACCACAGGCTGTTTGCCTTCGAAGGGCGAATCGCCCCAGGAGGAGCAACGGGCGCCCAGCAGCCCAGTCACACAACTGCAGGAGAACCGCGTCCTGCTCCACTGCGGCTCCCCGCTGTGCAGGCCCGGGGTGGGCTGGGTTAATGGGCTGAGGGCGTGGACGTGGCGAGGAGGCTTTAGAACAGTTAATAAATATTTACCCGCCTAAACCTTGCAGCAACTCCCTGCAGCTTCCTTCCTGTGCCTCCCTTCTCTGCGGTAATGACAGAGCCTCTCCAGCAAGAGCCACCAGCTTCAGTCCTAAGGTGCTGAACGCTTGGCCTCAAGGGTCAGGCCGGGACCCTGCATTCCCGGGGCTGGGGTGGGGAGAGCACAGCAAGGACAGCTGCTCCCCTCCCAGGAGGGCGGTTCAACTGTCTCCTCCAAGTGATCTGGGCTCTTGTCTCCTGCACAGCCACAGCCAAGGACGGTGAGTGTCCGGCCGAAATGAAGGGGCCCGCACGACCCCCCCAGGCCTACTGTCTCTCGGATGAGTCCTGCCCAGGGAGCGAGAAGTGCTGCAGCGAAGGGGACAGGAGAGTCTGCGTCCTCCCGGATTCAGGTACCGGCCGATCCCCCTATGGGCAGGCAGGGGAGGCTCTTCAGTCCTGTCCCATAATAAAGCAGAAGGTGGGGGTGGGTCTGACGAGACGAAGGCAGCTCAGCCAGCACCACCACGAGGGGGTCTCTGCACAGAGATGTACCGGCCGGTGGAATTCCCTGCCACTGGAGCTCAGAGGGCTGGATGGCACTACCATGCGTTAAGATTAGGGTGATCAGCTCTCAGGCTTCAGGGCATATGCCGACTGCTGCAGGGGTCAGGAAGAAATTGCTCGTCCCCCACATACAGCCCTGCTCAGCTGGTCAGATACATTGCAGATGTTTGCCTTTCTCTGGAGCGTCAGACGCTGGGGAGTGCCAGAGACAGCCTCAGAGCAGGGGCTGGGGAGACTCGTCTTTGTTAGTTAGGAATCAGCAAAAAGAAAAGCAGCTCCGGAGGACTGAAATCTGAAGCTGTTCTCCCGGCTCCCCAGTCTCCGGCCCCGTCGCCCAGGAACGGCTCTGAAGAGCTCACTTTGCCAAGCTGAGAGGCCTTTCTCCCCTGGCGTTAGCTGGGCAGGTGCCCCATCCTGACGGGTCTCGGGGGAGCTCTGGGTCCCACAGCCAGTTCAAAGGACACGTTCCCTGCGGGGCCCGGCTCAGGCACCACTGAGCTGTACTACAGGGTGCTCCGTGGGGAGCGAGGCCATGAGCTCTGCACCAGGGCGCTGGGAACAGATCCTCAGGGCTCTCGGAGAAATGGCTGCCCACAATCAGCCAGGGCCAGGCCCACCCTGCGATGCCCTCATCAGGGCTCCGCCAGAGCCCCCAGGCTACAGCAGCTCCTGCCACGTGGCAGGGGGGAGCCTGACATTGTGTCCTGCCAGCTGAAAAGTGACGTGCGGTGTTTTGGCTCTGGCCGTTGGGTCACAATAACCCGCAGCCTGTGATGCAATGCACTCCTCGCCTCAGCTCCTGGCTCACAATCCCCAGCTCCCTCCCCGGGCTCTGCAGGGGAGGCAAAGGGAGACGTGTCCAAGCTGTGCTGGCCAAGGGGCAGACTCCTGCTTCTGCAGCATCGGTGTCAGCACACCCTGCAGGAAGGAGAGTGGGGGAACCCGTCCAATCCACGGGCAGTACTGTCTGGAAACGGCATCTCTTCTGATACAGGCCGCAGCTTCCCTGGACTTCAGGCTCTCTCCTTCCCGCCCTTGGGAGCCGCTGCGCTCCGTTGTGTGTATTCGCAACATCACCATGCACGTTAGAACATATCACAGACACCAGGAACTCTTCCTTAGCAGCAGTGACAGGAGCTATAGGGAGATGGGCAATTCCATAGCTGATAGCCACACAGAAGGGCATTGCATTGCCATGTACCTGCCAGGCCTTTGCCTATTTGACCGAGCGATCCACACCCCAGAACTGAGCCGTAAGTACACATGGCTTGACAAATCCCCTGTTCTTTTTCCTTCTTTCCCAGTGCACCCGGGGTATTGCCCCAAGCCAGACGCAGGCCTGGTCACCATCTGTCTTGTGAGCTGCTCCGATGACACGCAGTGCTCCATGGACGAGAAGTGCTGCACCATCGGCTGCCACAGAAAATGCACCAAAGCTGAGCCAGGTGAAACACTGCGAAGTAGCTCAAGGGGCTGCATCAGCCTGGTACAGCAGGCTGGCTTTCCAAACCAGTGAGGCCATGATAACATGGACATTTCGCACGCACAGTTGTGTGCCGCGTTCGTGCATTCAGTCACAGCAGCTGTCCACTCACGTGGCAAATCAGGCACATTTGCCAACACACGGACCCAATTTGCATGTTCAAACATGGTCACTGTGACATGACCTGGCCTTGCAGCCGTGTACCTGAACTCTCTGGAAATGGCTCCCCCGCCCCTTGTCCCGCAGCGAACCTGCGCTGACAGACAGTGTCCACAGGCTCCCGGCAGCTAACAAGCCCCAGGGCTCCACTGCAGGGAGGAGTGAGAAAAGCCTTTTCACAGAATAGCGCATGGCACAAGTGAGCGGCTTCGTCCTTAAAAGGCTGCTGCTCGCAAACGGAGGCAATGCAATCCAGACTCTCCATGCATTTGAGGCCTCTTCAGTATATTCTTCTCCCATCTCCAGTGAGCACAGATGGGAATGTGGGGGGGAGGGAACAGCCCTGCATATACCCCTGATCACTGCAGCAGCCCTGTGGGCCAGGAAGGCCTGCGCCCATGGGAGGAAATCCCACCCCCCGCCTCCACCGCAGAATTAGCGCTGGGTAGATAAATGCCACTGCCCGCGGCAAGGCCTCCACAGCCGCTGGGACTCAGCCAGCCGGGCCCCCTCCCCCTACAGGCAGAGAGCCCAGCCCCGCGAGCTGCTTTCCCCCAGGCAGAACGCCAGTCCCGAGCAGCCCCGTTGCCTTCCGTGGAGCTCCCCGGGGTGAAGTGAAGCTGGTGCCAAGTGCTTTGCTGGAGCTGGGCTTTGGGCCGTGGAACCCAAGGAGCTGCCCCTGTAGGGCTGAGCCAGGCAAAATGCCCAGTGGGGGAGGACCTTGGGCTGGGCTGATAGTGACTAACTGAGGCTTTTGCAATCCGCTGAGCACTGCCATGCAGGAGAGATGGGTCAGTATGACCCCAGCCCTTATCTGGGTCCAAAATCCTGCAGCTCCCCAGCCAGGCAAACAAGGAACAAGCCTCCACACCAGCAGCTTCTAGGAGCCAAGCATCTCCCACACGGTCACACCATTCTGCACCTGAGCCGGCCTGGCCGGGGCTTTGCCCCCTGGGAGCCGACAACCCCCAGATGCTTCTCAGGCCAGGGTGGGGAAGGCCCTGCCCGTTCACCGACGCGGTCACACTGGACTCTGACTCTTTTCCAGCCTCCCCGGGCGTTTGCCCCAAGAGGAAAGTACTGCAGCCATTTGCTCCTTGCAACAACAAGTGTGCAAGCGACAGGAGCTGCCCTAGGGAACAGAAATGCTGCTTTACCGGCTGTGGCCTTGACTGTGTCCCTCCACAAGCAGGTGCCCTCAGCACCGCCCTGCCGCCCGCCCAGTCCGGAGAGGGCTGGGACTGGACCAAACAGACTCAAGAGGGAAGCAGTGCTACAGGTGAAGACTCTGAGTGCACAGGGGGGTGGGGGGACTGGTCCTAGGCTGGCCCATTTTTCACCAGATCCCCCCGCCCCCTAGAGAGTCACTAGGGCTTGTTGGTCCCCCACAGACAGGGACATCCCTGCCCTTCTGCAGTGAAGCTGGGCCCTTCCATGGCTGGGAGGGGCGGTGCCGCAGTGACTGGGACTGCAGCCAGTGCTGGGTGCAGCCACAACCGCCCGTCAGTAACGGGCAGGGTTCCCAACCCTCCGGGATTGTCCTGGAGGCTCCAGGAATTAAAAATTGATCTTTGACTAAAGATTATGTCCTGTGATGAAACCTCCAGGAATACGTCCAACCAAAATTGGCAACCCTAGTAACGGGCAGAGGGCAACCTGAGATTTACAGGCTGTTGGTAACCATGCCTCTGCGCTGCAGCCCCCAGTGGCAGCTTTGTTAGCCCAGCAGTTACCTGCGCCAACTGCAGGGGTGTTCTGAACTCGCTGGGAACAAAGGCCCAGGCTTATTTATTTAGCCTAGTTCTAAAAGCTCTCTCCTGCTGTGTGAGGTGTCACTGTAAGCAGGCAGCAATTAGCCAAGGCAACCGTCATGCGCTGGGGAGAGCGGGACGCTGCATTAGGAGCCCGGCATTCACTTCCGGGCTCACTTGGACCCTCAGCTTGGGCTGTGCATTTGCAGGAGCTGGTGTGTGCAGTCGAGTGCGCAGAGATGGATGCACACTAGCCTGCCTGCTCGGTGCCCGCGAGTGCCAGGATCGCGTGCAGCAGTGCCGGGTGCAGATCCTTGGTTGTGCACGTAGCTGGTTATTTGCATGTGCCTCTTTCTGCAGGAAAGTGCCTCAGTGTCTCCACCGGGGAAACGAGGCCACTGCCTGTTTCCCAGCGATGGTGCATGGGGCGAGCGGAGCGCCACGTATTGCCATGGTGTTATTGCCACTAGAGGGTGGGGTTTCTGCTGCCCACGGGCGGTTGTTCCTAGGGCCTCATTTCTGTTGCAGGGAAGCCTTGGACACCACAGAAACGTGGAACCTGCCCACCCAACCTCATCAGGTGTCTCTACACAGAGCCCCCTCTGTGCCGCAATGACACCGACTGCCAGGGGCGGCAGAAGTGTTGCTATAACCGGTGTAGGTTCCGCTGCGTGGAGCCGGAGGAAGGTACCAGAGACGGCGGGCAGCACCACGCGTGCTCTCGGCACGCGGGCTAGGCACAGAGTTACTGGGGCAACCCTCCCCCCCGATTCACAGCGGGCACCAGGGCCAATGGCAGCTGCGCCCGGGCCCAAACAAATCCCCACAAATCGCCTCTCTCCCCATCAGCACTGGGCTCATCCCGCTTCGCATCCTGCCCTCCAACGCCCCTGCCTTTGGGCACGGCTACTGAGAGCAGACTTTTTATCCCCGAGGTGCCCCTAAAGACCCGGGGAAGAGCCTGCAATTAACGCCCTGCCCAGGCTGCAATCCCTGGTGGGCAAAGGGCATTGCCCGGTGACACTGCCTCAGCCTTTGGCAGCGAATTGGTTGAGGGTGGCACAAAGTGGGTGTGGATTAGGATAGAGGGAAGGCAGGGAGAACGAGCGCTGGGCAAAATTGGGGAGAGAGGAGCTTGGGCAGCAGGGTTAAGGCAGGGTGCTGAGAGCACCCAGGGCAGGGGGGTGAAGGCAGGGGGCAGCCAGGGCAGAGGGGTGAAGACAGGGGGCAGCCAGGGTGGGGATGAGGGCATGTATAGAATCATAGAATATCAGGGTTGGAAGGGACCTCAGGAGGTCATCTAGTCCAACCCCCTGCTTGAATCAGGACCAATCCCCAATTTTTGCCCCAGATCCCTAAATGGCCCCCTCAAGGATTGAACTCACAACCCTGGGTTTAGCAGGCCAATGCTCAAACCACTGAGCTATCCCTCCCCCCCACGTAGTTCTCTTTCCTCTTCCATCTGCCCACCCCTCATCTCTCATCTCTGCCCTGTGACCCCTCGTGTTCCAGAGAAACCCGGCGTCTGCCCAGCTGAGGCCCCAGCGGGCGTCCTCGATCCCTGTTTCTTCCGCTGCTCGGCGGACGAGGACTGCCTGGGAAGTGAGAAGTGCTGCGCCCTGAGCTGCGGTGCGGCCTGCCTGGAGCCAGGGCAGGGTGAGTGTCCTGGCAGCCCCGCACAGACCCTGTCAGGACCCCACCCCAGACTTGCCCTGAGGGACCCTGGCTTCCCCAGGGGCTCAGTGTCTCAGCGGAGGCGGGACGCTCTGTCCACCAGGAGCTCAGCCGGGGGCCAAGAGGTGGCAGGTGCTAAGGACAGCAGCTGAGAGTGGAGGGGGGCAGTGTCTGGGGGGGCAGGCGGGGCTAGCGAGGGGGGAGACAGGAGGAGTCCGTGGGGAAGACGGGCCGAGCAGAGGGGGGCAGGAAACAGGACCCCAGGACGACGCCAAGGCTGCAGGGCCCCCCGTGCTGCCCTGCCCCAGGCTGCAGAGCCCGCAGCCCACAGCAGGAGGCAACCCAGCGGCCCCGGCCAGGGGATTGCGGCTGCCACAGACCCCCCCACTTTGCTACTTTGGGGCGGGACTTAGGAGAACACCTGGGAAAGGAGCAAGGCCGCGGGACAGCGACTCGCGGGTTTGGGGTCTGAGGAAGGAGGGCAGGCGATAGGCCCAGCAGGGAGGACAGGTGCCCGGTCAAACCCCAACCCCTCCCCTGGGGCGGGATGCTGTAGATGCTTAGCCCCCAAGGCACGCAGCCCCGCTCAGACATTCCCTGGTGCCGTAAAGCCCCCAAGGCAGGCAGCCCCGCTCAGACATTCCCTGATGCCGTAGCCCCCAAGGCAGGCAGCCCCGCTCAGACATTTCCCGGTGCCGTAGCCCCCAAGGCAGGCAGCCCCGCTCAGACATTCCCCGGTGCCGTAGCCCCTAAGGCAGGCAGCCCCGCTCAGACATTCCCCAGTGCCGTAAAGCCCCCAAGGCAGGCAGCCCCACTCAGACATTCCCCGGTGCCGTAGCCCCCAAGGCAGGCAGCCCCGCTCAGACATTCCCCGGTGCCGTAGCCCCCAAGGCAGGCAGCCCCGCTCAGACATTCCCCGGTGCCGTAGCCCCCAAGGCAGGCAGTCCCGCTCAGACATTCCCCGGTGCCGTAGCCCCCAAGGCAGGCAGCCCCGCTCAGACATTCCCCTCTACCCCAAACCCCCCTCAGACATTCCCCATGACCCCCAACAGCACCCCACTCAGACATTCCCCGGTGCCGAGCCCCCAAGGCAGGCAGTCCCGCTCAGACATTCCCCGGTGCCGTAGCCCCCAAGGCAGGCAGCCCCGCTCAGACATTCCCCAGTGCCGTAAAGCCCCCAAGGCAGGCAGCCCCACTCAGACATTCCCCGGTGCCGTAGCCCCCAAGGCTACGCAGCCCCGCTCAGACATTCCCCGGTGCCGTAGCCCCCAAGGCAGGCAGCCCCGCTCAGACATTCCCCGGTGCCGTAGCCCCCAAGGCAGGCAGCCCCGCTCAGACATTCCCCAGTGCCGTAGCCCCCAACGCAGGCTGCCCCGCTCAGACATTTCCCGGTGCCGTAGCCCCCAAAGCAGGCAGCCCCACTCAGACATTTCCCGGTGCCGTAGCCCCCAAGGCAGGCTGCCCCGCTCAGACATTCCCCGGTGCCGTAGCCCCCAAAGCAGGCAGCCCCGCTCAGACATTCCCCGGTGCCAGGCTCATGTTTAACACCTGGCTTCTGCGGCACAAACGGGGCAGGGGGCTGAGGGCTGGGGGGGCCCATCCGAGGAGGCACCAGCCTCAAGGTTCTTAGAGCTCTGGGCTGGGGGCCCCCACCCTAGCGCCTCTCACACCCGCTGCGAGGCATGAAGGAAAGGCCCCGCAGCTGAGTCCATGAGGAGAAGCTGCAGGGGATCCCATCCCCCGGGGTCCCACCCAGAGAGGAGAGGCAAGGGGGCAGAGGCTCAGCCCTTCGGGCTCAGGGGAGTGAGAGCTTTAGCAGTTTGCCCCGTCTCTCTCCACCGCATGGGAAGCTGCCCAGAAATGACAGCCCGGCAGGCCCTGTGCTGGAGTTGTGTGCCCTGCCAGTGTCTGGCAGCAGCCCTGGAGCAGGGACACTCTCCCCCAGGCACCGTTAAACCCTACTGAGGCGTTCGAGGTGCCTCTAGAAGGGCTCTTGTTCTCGGTCTGTGGAATGCTCCGACTTCCTGTAGCATAGGGTTGCCAGGTGTTTGGTTTTCGACCGGAACGCCTGGTCGAAAAGAGACCCTGGCGGCTCTGGTCAGCACTGCTGCCCGGGCCGTTAAAAGTCCAGTCGGCAGTGCAGCAGGGCTATGGCAGGCTCCCTGGCTGCCATGGGTCCGGGCAGCTCCCAGAACCAGCGGCATGTCCCCCCTCCAGTTCCTATGCATAGGGGCAGTCAGGGGGCTCTGCATACTGCCCCCCACCCCAAACACCAGTTCCACAGCTCCCGTTGGCCAGGAACCACAGCCAATGGGAGCTGCGGGGGTGGTGTCTGTACCTGGCCATGCCTCTGCTTAGGAGCCAGAGCGGGGACATGCTGCTGCTTCCAGGAGCTGTCTGAGGTAAGCGTCTCCCCGAACCTGCACCCCGCAACCTTCCCATGCCCCAAACCCCTGCCCCAGCCCTGATCCTCCTCCCACACTCTGAACCCCTCAGCCCCCTCCTGGACCCCAAATCCCGCATCCCTGGCCCCACCCCAGAGCCTGCAGCCCCAGCTGGAGCCCTCACCCCACCCCCCGCACCCCACCCCCCTGAGCCAGCCCAGTGAAAATGAGCCAGTGAGTGAGGGTGGGGAGAGCAAGCGACAGAGGGAGGGGGGATGGAGTGAGCAGGGGCGTGGCCTCAGAGAAGGGGTGGGGCCTTGCAGGCGGGGCATGGGCAGGGGGCAGGGCAAGGGTGTTCGGTTTTGTGGGAGTTGGGGTGACCAGATGTGCTGATTTTATAGGGACAGTCCCAATATTTGGGGTTTGTCTTATATAGGTGCCTATTACCCCCCACCCGTCCCGATTTTCCACACTTGCGGTCTGGTCACCCTAGTGGGAGTAGAAAGTGGGCAGCCCCACTGTCGCGCCCTAGAGGCTCCTGCCCTCGCGGGCTGCCCCACGAAGGGTCGGTTCTGTACCCTCAGACATTTGCCAGCTGCCAGCCCAAGCGGGTCTCTGTGACGTCTACTCCTTCCGGTACTTCTACAACGCCACCGCCCAGAGGTGTGAGCCGTTCTTGTACCACGGCTGCCGGGGAAACGCCAACAACTTTAGGACAGAAGCCGAGTGTGTCCAGGCCTGCGCAGGCCACGGTGAGGGAGAAGGTTTCCCTGCAGCCGGCTCTGCCGAGGGGGCCCGGATCCCCTGCCCCAGGACACCAGGGACACCCCGGCACTGGAGTCAGAGGGTCCTGGTGGGAGAGAGGGCTCAGGCCCCGGGAGGCGGGAAGCGGAGGGGCCCTTTGCCCCAGGTGAGGCCAAGAGCCCGGGGCAGGGGGATGAAGAGGAGGGAGAGAGCAGGGCCGGGGGGAGATGGGCCCTGGCTCACGCTCCCATGGAGCTGGGAGGCTCTGCCTGCGAGTGGGCATCTCACCGCCGCCCGCGTGACTGTTCTGTGCCCCAGAGAAGCCTGGCGAGTGCCCGGCCGTAGAGCAGGGACCGGCCAGGGCCTGCGAGAAGAGATGCCGCCGTGACGACGACTGCCCAGGCGCCCAGAAGTGCTGCAGGAACAGCTGCGGCTCCGAGTGCCGCTCAGTGACCCCAGAAGGTGGGAGCCGCTTGCTGCTGTGAGGGGAGCCAGGGCTCCCAGGGGTCCCCTCGACGCATGCACCCCTGGCTGCACGTGCACCCCCGAGCGCCGGCCGGACTCTCGCTGAGCACTCTCCTGGGGCGGCCGGCACGGTGGGGAGGGCCACACGGGTCTCCCAGCCTCCAGGGGGGTCAGCGCCCGGCCTAGGGAGCAGGGGCCACGGGACTGTGCTGAGTGCAAGGGGGAGGGGGGAGCTGTTTATGGGCGGGGGCAGGACAGGTTGCTGGATTTATTGTGCTTGGGACTCACTCTCCTTCCCAAAGTGCTCCCTGTCCCAGGAGACAGGTGGACATGCGAGAGGCCAAGACCAAGCAGGGACAGGGGTTGGGCTAGGCCCAGACAGAAGGCCAGGGCCAGGTTGGCCCATTTCCTGCCAGGACGCCCTTACCCCACCCGGGGCTGCGGCCCAGGGTCTGATGCCCCGTGGCTGTCTATCGCAGTGAGGCCTGGAGTCTGCCCGGCGTTACCAGGAGGAGCCGTCGGTGCCTGTGATGAGAGATGCCGTTCCGACAGCGACTGCCCGGGCGCCCAGAAGTGCTGCAGCAACGGCTGTGGCCTGGCCTGCGTGGCCGTGGCTCTCATCCCGGAGGGTGAGGATCGCAACACTAGACCCCACTGTGCAGCCACCCATAACACGCTGTCCCAGCAGCTCGGGGCACGTCCCCCCACCCCGCCCTGGGCGGTTTATTGTTCTCCCCCATTGCTCGATAGAATCTCGTACTAAGTTCAGTTTGCTAAATGCGGGAGTTCTGTCCTAGCCAAGAGGGCGATGGGAGGTTCCCCTGGGGCGACCATGAACGTTGCCCTGACACACCAGGGCCTGGTCTGTTCTGAGGCCATTCATTCCTGGAGGGGTCCCGAGTGCTGGCAGTCCTACTGCTGAGCTAGTTTCTGCTCAATTGCTTCGGTGCAGCATCAGCTTCCCCTGCCCCCCACCCCACCCTTCAGTGTCCGTGGGGGTCCTCAGGGATCTGACAGAGCCAAGCCCTCGAAGCTGAGTCACAAATTGCCTGGATAATGGGGCCTGTGCCGTGAAACGGCTCTTGCACAAGACGAGAAGGAGGTTCAACATCCAGGCTTGTGCACGCTCCAAGTGGAAGTGCAGCCAGCACGGCCGTACACCCCTGCCCAGCCACGTGGGGCTCCTTGGGGCCCACAGCCTTGGCTGGCTGCCCGAGGAGCCCTGCACTGTGAGTGGGGGTATCCCTGCCACGTCTGCTCTGTGTGTTGCAGTGAAACCCGGCGTCTGCCCAGCCCAAGCGCCAGCGGACAGCCTCAGCCCATGCTTCTTTCGATGTACCAAAGACAACGATTGCCCGGGCCAGGAGAAATGCTGCCGTCTCAGCTGTGGCTCTGCCTGCCTGAGACCGAAGCACGGTAAGAAACAGCTATTACCACGCCAGGCCCGTGAGCACTGGGGATGTTCCCCCTGCAGGACGTGTGTCTGAGGCTGTGGGAGAATCGGGGCCACTCCCTGAGGATATGTCTACACGGCACAGACCTGGAACAGCAGGGCTTCAGCCAGCGTGCTAAAAATAGCGGTGGAGACGTTGCCCTGGCCTTGTCCCCTGCCCCACCCCAGCTCGAGAGCCGGAGCCGCAGCGTCTACACAGTTATGTTTCATGCACTAGCGCAAGCCCTGCCCCCACAAGTCTGGGGAGACGGCCTGGGCGGCTCGCTCTCTGGTGCAGTGTAGACATACCTTCCAGGGCCAGGTCCCCACCCCGGAAACACGCCCTGAATGATCCTGACTCCCCCAAGCCCCAGGAGATCTGACTATCTCCTGATTGGCAGGGAGCTCAGTCCCAGGGGTCTGGGAATGGGGACGTGGGGCACAGAGCACTGGGGGCCAGGGGGCAGAGGACATGGGCCCAGAGAGCTGGGGACTGAGGGCCATGAGGGAGCAAAGAGTGAGGCCACATGGGGCGGGAGCGCTGGCAGGACAGAGGGCACGTGAGCTGAGGCAGAGAGGGGACGGGCAGCTGAGGGCAGGGCTTGGGGCAGGGAGGGGTCTGGGGGAAGAGGACTGGACGTGCCAGGGCCCCAGCCAGATGGGGTCACAGGGCAGAGAGGGGGCGACCTCAGAGAGCAAAGGGCAAGGAGAGGCCAGGGAAGGTGCCGAGGCAGCAGGCCAGGGGACTGGTTCTGGGCCGCCCTTCAGGCCGGGCCTGGCCCATTTCCCCAAGGAGCCCCCTGCCTGCCGCCCCATTCCCGCATGGAGTCGCTGGGACTTGGCTGGGGCAGCTCTGTGACTGGGCAGGGCCTCACTGCCACGCGCCTGGCCTGTGTTCCAGAGAAACCGGGGCTTTGCCCAGCATTTAAAATCAGAGACGAGGGGCCGCCCCTGACGCTGTGCTGGCAGGACAGCGACTGCCACAAGAGAGACAAGTGCTGCAGGAGGGGCTCCAGCTACGTCTGTGCATCGCCCTCCCCCACGGCAGGTGAGACGGCACCTGCCCACGTGGGCTGCTCCAGGGGCACCCGCTGCCCACCCCGTCACTCCCTCCCAGGGGCCGATGGCTCGAGGGCCCCATGCCAGCCAGAGCCAGTTGAGTGCACCATTCTGCCCCACACACCGCCCTCCGCCAGTCATAGAGACAGAGCCTCAAGCCCTGTCCCAGTGCTCCCCCCAACCTCAGCGGGGCTGAGCTGACCCCCACATGGTGCCCTCTAGCTCTGCCCCTGGGCTGTACGATGATAACCATGGGGATGCCCAGGGGTTCTCCCCATGACAGTGGGTGGTGGAAAGCAGCCGCGGGGAGCCCGGAGCAGAGCACCAGACATCAGCTGTCTCCCAGCGCACCCATCCCCACTTGCCACAGCTCCTGCTGCCTTCACCTGCCAGCCCCACTGATACTGACCCCACACTGCGCTGAGCGCTGGGAGATGTCAGAATCTGCCTGCAGTCCCCTTGGCCCTGTTCCCGGCAGGGCCTCCACCCCTGGTACCGGCTGGAGCGTTAGGGCTTGTCTGGATGGGCCGTCACTGCCCTGTGACCACTCTGTGTTGCAGAGGAACCCGGCGCTGGCCCAGCCGCCCCCGAGGGGCACGGTGGGCAGAGATGCCGCAGTGACTGGGACTGCCCGGGAGCAGAGAGATGCTGCAGCCGTCGGTGTCGTGCAGAGTGCCCCACGCAGGGCGAAGGTAAGCCCCACCCTGTGCCATTGGCACAGAACTCAGAGCTGATCATAAGAACATAACAATGGCCATACAGGGTCAGAGCAAAGGCCCATCTAGCCCAGTGTCCTGTCTTCCGACTGTGGCCAGTGCCAGGTGCCCCAGAGGGAAGAAACAGAACAGGGAATGACCAAATGATCCATCCCCTGTGGCTCATTCCCAGCTTCTGGCAAACAGAGGCTAGGGACACCGTCCCTGCCCGTCCTGGCTAATAACCATTGATGGACCTATCCTCCATGAATTTATCTAGTTCTTTTTTGAACCTAGTTATGGTCTTGGCCTTCACAACATCCTCTGGCAAGGAGTTTCACAAGATGACTGTGTGGTTTTTTGTGTGTGTGAAAAAAACTTCCTTTTGTTTGTTTTAAATCTGTTGCCTGTTAATTTCATTTGGATCTAGGCTGTTCTCAGTGGTACCAGATGACAGAACAAGGAGTAATGGTCTCAAGTTGCAGTGCGGGAGATTTAGGTTGGATATTAGGAAAAACTTTTTCACTAGGGAGGGTGGTGAAACACTGGAATGCGTTACCTAGGGAGGTGGTGGAATCTCCTTCCTTAGAGGTTTTTAAGGTCAGGCTTGACAAAGCCCTGGCTGGGTTGATTTAGTTGGGGATTGGTCCTGCTTTGAGCAGGGGGTTGGACTAGATGACCTCCTGAGGTCCCTTCCAACCCTGATATTCTATGATTCTATGACCCCTAGTTCTTGTATTATGAGAAGGAGTAAATAACACTTCCTTATTTACTTTCTCCACACCAGTCATGATTTTATAGACCCCTATCATATCCCCCCTTAGTCGTCTCTTTTCCAAGATCAAAAGTCCCAGTCTTATTAATCTCTCCACACAGGGAAGCCGTTTCATACCCCATCTCATTTCTTTTGCCCTTTTCTGGACCTTTTCCAATTCCAATATATCAATTTTGAGATGGGGCGACCACATCTGCACGCAGTATTTAAGATGTGGGCGTACCATGGATTTATAAAGAGGCAGCATGATATTTTTTGTCTTATATTATCTATTCCTTTCTTAATGATTCCCAACATTCTCTTCTCTTTTTTGATTGCTGCTGCACATTGAGTGGATGTTTTCAGAGTACTATCCACAATGACTCCAAGTCCTCTTTCCTGAGTGGCAACAGCTAATTTAGACCCCTTTATTTTATAAGTATAGTTGGGATTATTTTTTCAATGTGCATTACTTTACATTTATCAACATTGAATTTCATCTGGCATTTTGTTGCCCAGTCACCCAGTTTTGAGAGATCCTTTTGTAGCTCTTCGCAGTCTGACTGGGATTTAATTATCTTGAGTAGTTTTGTATCGTCTACAAACTTTGCCTCCTCACTGTTTATCTCTTTTTCCAGATAATCTATGAATATATTAAAATAGGACTTGTTCCACTACAGACCCCTGGGGACACCACTATTCACCTCTCTCCATTCTGACAGCTGACCATTTATTCCTATGCTTTGTTTCCTATCTTTTAACCAGTTACCAATCCATGACAGCTCACTTTTCTCAAGAGCCTTTGAGGAGGGACCTTGTGAAAGGCCTTCTGAAAATCTAATTACACTATATCCACTGGGTCACCCTTGTCCACATGCTTGTTGATACCCACTGTCACGGAGTCCCTGGGCAATGCTCTGGAACTGCTCCCTATGCAGCCAGTCAGGACTCTGGTGAGGTCTCCTCTCTGGGAGCAGACTGTCTTCAGGGCAAGAAGCTCACACGGCTTCCACCTTCCTGGGTCGGACCTCGGAGCATTCAGCATCCTCTGCCTCTCCGTGCGCTTCCCACAGTGAGTCTGCCCAGGCGGGGTCCTGGGGAAGCCAGAGGGTCCTGCCCCACAACTTCACAGTCAGACGTGACTCTCAGCCAGACAGTAAAACAGAGGTTTATTAGACGACAGGAACATGGTCTAAAACAGAGCTTGTAGGTACAGAGAACAGGACCCCTCAGCTGGGTCCATTTTGGGAGGCAGTGAGCCAGACAACCCCATCTGCACTTCACTCCTCGTCCCCAGCCAACCCCAAACTGAAACTCTCTCCTGCCTTTCCTCCTCTGGGCTTTGTCCCTTTCCCGGGCCAGGAGGTCACCGGATTCCTTTGTTCTCCAACCCTTTGGCTCTCACTTTGCAGGGAGGAAGGGCCAGGCCATCAGTTTCCAGGAAACAGAGTGTCGGCAATTTATGTACCCTGGCCCTTTGCTCTGCAACAATTACACTCCCTTATCCCACCACCTACAGACTTAAGAAATGCTAGGGGAAACTGAGCCACCCCTACAGTATTCAGAGGAAATGTTAAGAACTGTCCCACTTAGTCACACACTCAAATAATGTTAATAGGTTGGTGAGGTATGATTTCCCTTCACAAAAACCATGTTGACTCTTCCCCAACAAATTATGTTCATCTATGTGTCTGACAATTCTGTTCTTTACTGTAGTTTCAACCAGTTTGCCTGGCACTGAAGTCAGGCTTACCAGCCTGTAATTTCCAGGGTCACCTCTGGAGCCCTTAGCTATCCCCCAGTCATTTGGTACAGAAGCTGATTTAAATGATAGGTTAGACACCACAGTGAATAGTTCTGCAATTTCACATTTGAGTTCCTTCAGAACTCTTGGGGGAATATCATCTGGTCCTGGTGACTTATTAGTGTTTATTTTATCAGTTTGTTCCAAAACCTCCTCCAATGACACCTCAATCTGGGACAGTTCCTCAGATCTGTCACTCAAAAAGAATGGCTCAGGTTTGGGAATCTCCCTCACATCCTCAGCTGTGAAGACCGATGCAAAGAATTAATTTAGCTTCTCCACAATGGCCTTAGCATCCTTGAGTGCTCCTTTAGCACCTTGATCATCCAGTGGCCCCACTGGTTGTTTAGCAGCTTCCTGCTTCTGGTGTACTTAAAACATTGTTTGCTATTACTGTTAGAGTCTTTGGTTACCTGTTCTTCAAATTCTTTTTTGGCTTTCCTAATTGTATTTTTACACTTCTCTTACCAGAGTTTATGCTCCTTTCTATTTTCCTCACTAAGATTTAACTTCCACTTTTTTAAGGATACCTTTTTGCCTCTCACTGCTTCTCTTACTTTGTTATTTAGCCATGGTGGCACTTTTTTGGTTCTCGTACTATGTTTTTTAATTTGGGATACGCATTTAAGTTGAGCCTCTATTATGGTGTCTTTAAAAAGTTTCCATGCAGCTTGCAGGAATTTGACTTTTGGCACCATACCTTTTAACTTCTGTTTAACTAACTTCCTCATTTTTGTGTAGTTCCCCTTTCTGAAATTAAATGCTACAGTGTGGGGCCACTGTGGTGTTTTCCCCGCCCAGGGATGTTAAATTGAATTATATTATGGTCACTATTACCAAGCGGTCCAGCTATATTCACCTCTTCGACCTGATCCTGTGCTCCACTTAGGACTAAATCAAGAATTGCCTCTCCCCTTGTGGGTTCCAGGGCTAGCTGCTCCAAGAAGCAGTCATTTAAGGTGTCAAGAGACTTTCTCTCTGCATCCCGTCCTGCGGTGACATGTACCCAGTCAACATGGGGATACATAATTGAAATCCCCCATTATTACTGAGTTTTTTATTTTAATAGCTTCTCTAAGCTCCCTGAGCATTTCACAGTCACTATCACCATCCTGGTCAGGTGGTCGGTAATATATCCCTACTGCTATATTCTTATTATTCGAGCATGGAATTACTATCCACGGAGATTCTGTGGTACAGTTTGGTTCATTTAAGATTTTTTACACTTTCTTTCACATATAGTGCCACTCCCACACCAACACGACCTGTTCTGTCCTTCCGATATATTTTGTACTCTGGTATTACTGTGTCCCATTGATTATCCTCATTCCACCAAGTTTCTGTGATGCCAATTATATCAATAGCCTCATTTAATACGTGGCACTCTAGTTCACCCATCTTATTATTTAGATTTCTAGATCCTATCCCTCACCCCCATCGGTTTGGTAATAATGCCACCCACAGCCCCAGCTGTCAGCCAGTCGCCTTCTGGGGGGCAGAGCTGGACTCTGGGGAAGAGCAGCTCCCCTCCCGGTTGGTGAAGAGGGTCACTCCAGGGAGCTGTAGGGATTTTAGAATGGGTCAGCACCCAGGGACAGGGAGATCTAGGCTTTGCCCATCATTACCTGGCATTACAGGTGTCATGGAGTCCCGGGGCGATGCTCTGGAACTGCTCCCTACAAAGCCAGGCAGGACTCTGGGGAAGTCTCTTTTCTGTGAGCAGCCTGTCTGCAGGACACACAGCTCACACAACTTCCACCTTCCTGGGTCTGACCTCGGAGCATTCAGCCTGCTCTTCCCCTCCGTGCACTTCCCACAGCGAGTCCGCCCAGGCGGGGTCCTGGGGAAGCCAGAGGGTCCTGCACCCCAACTCCGCAATCAGACAAGACTCTAAGCCAGCCAGTAAAACAGGTTTATTAGACGACAGGAACATGGTCTAACACAGAGCTTGTAGGTGCAGAGAACAGGACCCCTCAGCCGGGTCCATTTTGCGGGGCAGTGAGCCAGACAACCCCATCAGCACTTCACTCCTTGTCCCCAGCCAGCCCCAAACTGACTCCCCCTCCAGCCCCCACTCCTCTGGGCTTTGTCCCTTTCCGGGCCAGGAGGTCACCGGATTCCTTTGTTCTCCAACCCTTTAGCTCTCACCTTGCAGGGGGAAGGGCCCAGGCCATCAGTTGCCAGGAAACAGGGTGTCGGCCATTCTCTGTGTCCAGACCCCTGCACACCCCTGCCCTCTAGGGCTCTGCAACGATCATACACCCTTACCCCACCACCTAGATACTTAAGAACTGCCTAGGGGAAACTGAGGCACCCCCACAATATTCAGAGGAAACATTAAGAACAGTCCCACTTTGTCACAACAGGGTGCGGAGCTGAAGGAAGGGAAAGGATAACGCTGGACAGGGAGGGGGCTAAGTGTGATGAACAGCACACAGAGCTAGCGGGACGGGACAGGCACCGGGGTCCTTCTTCATTCCTGGTCTGGCCCGGTTCCCTTAGGACACCCCCTTTCCCATGGAGGTGTGAGGCTATATCTGGTGCGGCTCTGTGCCCAGCCGGGGTCTCACTGCCATGGGGCTGTTCTGTGTAACAGGGACCCCCACATCTGGCCCAGCCGCCTCCGAGGGGCACGGTGGGCAGAGATGTCGCAGTGACCGGGACTGCCCGGGAGCAGAGAGGTGCTGCAGCCATCGGTGCCGTACAGAGTGCCCCACGCAGGGCGAAGGTAAGAGGAGCTGGGAATGGGCTCAAGGGTCCCGGGTTACACAGACCAATGGGAATCTCTGCTGACCCAACCCCATTTATTACCTGATCTCTGCCACCCTAGGTCCAAGGCTGCTTGTCCTTCCGAGCCAGGGGGCCAGGGTTCCAGCCCACTCCATATTGCCTCTCCAACACTAACAGGAGAGGGGGGCAGGAAGAGGGCAGCCTGGGCAGGGAGCCGGGCTTGTGTTCAGGTGTGAGGGAGCCGTGGGGCTCTAGAGCAATTTGGTGCATGTCTGTGGTGGGGCCTGTCCTGCCCAGTGTGATCTCTCTTCGGGAGGTGGGGGCACATGTGGGAGGGGCTGAGGCCAGCGGGAGCAGGGGCTGGAGAAGGAGATTGGACATTCTGACACTTTGGGGTCTGGCTCCAGCCCCAGTCAGCCCCATTCCCCTCGCCCCCCCAATACCAGCTGGAGCATTAGGGCTTGTCTGGATGGGCCGTCACTGCCCTGTAACCACTCTGTGTTGCAGAGGAACCCGGCGCTGGCCCAGCCGCCCCCGAGGGGCACGGTGGGCAGAGATGTCGCAGTGACCGGGACTGCCCGGGAGCAGAGAGATGCTGCAGCCGTCGGTGTCGTACAGAGTGCCCCGCACAGGGCGAAGGTAAACCCCAACCTGTGCCATTGGCAGCAGGAATCCGAGCTGTGTCCATCCCTCGCCCCCATCGGCCCCATAATAATGCCGCCCTCAGCCCCAGCCCTCAGCCAGTCGCCTTCTGGGGGGCAGAGCTGGACTCTGGGGAATGACAGCTCCCGTCCCGGTAGGTAAAGAGGGTCACTCCAGGGAGCTGCAGGGTGTCTCAATGTATTCATAAGTGACCTGGAAAAAGGGATAAACAGTGAGATGGCAAAACTTACAGACAATACAAAATTCCTTAAGATAGTTAAGCCCAAAGCTGACTGTGAAGAGCTACAAAGGGACCTCACAAAACTGGGTGACTGGGCAAGAAAGTGGCAGATGAAATTCAGTGTTGATAAATGCAAAGTAATGCACATTGGAAAACATCATCCCACCTGTACATACAAAATGATGGATCTAAAACAGCTGTTAACACCAAGAAAGAGATCTTGGAATCATCATGGATAGTTCTCTGAAAACTAGGGCTGTCAAGCAATTAAAAAAAATCAATCATGATTAGTCACACTGTTAAACTGTCACGGAGTGTGGGGGAGTCAGGGCCCTGCACCCCTCTTCCTGGGATTCACTGAGACTCTCAGCCAGCCAGTAAAACAGAAGGTTTATTGGACAACAGGAACAAACAGAGCTGTGGGTACAACCAGGACCCCTCAGTCAAGTCCTTCTGGGGGAGCAGGGAGCTTAGACCCCAGCCCTGGGGTTCCCTGCGTTCCTCCACCCAGCCCCAAACTGAACCTAACCCTCCCCCAGCAGGTTCCCTCCTGCAGCCTCTGTTCACATTCCCGGGCAGAGGTGTTACCTCCCCCACCCCCTCCCGGCTCAGGTTACAGGCTCTCAGGTCTCCCATTGAAACTCCCCTGCCACATTCCCAGGTCAACACTCCTCGCTCCCTGCTGCATCACATAAACCATAATAACAGGTTTCAGAGTAGCAGCCGTGTTAGTCTGTAGTCACAAAAAGAACAGGAGTACTTGTGGCACCTTAGAGACTAACCAATTTATTTGAGCATAAGCTTTCGTGAGCTACAGCTCACTTCATCGGATGCATACTGTGGATATCATTTATTTAAATATTTTTGGATGTTTTCTACATTTTCAAATATTTTCAAAGGGTACAGTGCTCACTTCATATTTGTATTACAAATATTTGCACTATAAAAAACAAAAGAAATAGTATTTTTCAATTCACCTAATACAAGTACTGCAGTGCAATCTCTTTATCACGAAAGTTGAACTTACAAATGTCTGACCCAGTATGGCCGTTCTTCTGTTTTGTCCCACGCAGGAAGAATGGGGCAGCACACAGGGGCAGCGCGATCCAGGCTTTGCCCATCGTTACTTGGCATTACCGGGCAGCTGAGGTCCTTCAGTCCTGCTCTGTCCCCTTCCCTCAGGACACCCCCTCTTTCCCACATGGAGTTATCAGGTGTTGGCTGGGGTGGCTCTGACAACAGCACCCTGAGCATCTACACCACCCCCAGGGACAGAGCAGAGCCCCCTGGAGCATCCCGGGGGGGCGGGGGTTGAAACCTACAGGGGATCCAGCTGTGTGCTTCTGACGCCTGCTCCATCCACCTCCTGCCCTGAATCTCTCGCTCCTCCCTTGGTCCCTGCAATCCCCTGCCACCCCCTGGCGAGGTCCCAGCAGAGCCCCATTCATGTCTCTAGAGCCCTGTCAGCTTCCTCTCTGTTCCACTCCCCCTTCCCCATGAGGGACCTCACTGGGCCCTACATGTTTGCCAGCTCCCTGCCGAGACGGGCCGCAGGGAGGCCTTCGCTTCTTGCCACTCTGGCCCCTCCAACTCGGGGAAATGGGTCGTTTGTTTATGGCAGTTGTGGGGGGAACTTGACCAACTTGGAGACGAAAGCAGCTCAGTGACTGGGCAGGGTCTCTGCCGCACGCCCATTGTGTGTTCCAGAGAGACCCGGCATCTGCCCGACGCTGCAGAGACCTGGCCTCTGTGTGGAGAAGTGCACCAGGGACACGCAGTGCCCCAGGGGGCAGAAATGCTGCAGCACCGGGTGTGGTCACGTCTGCATGGGAGTCATCGCTGAAGGTATGTTCAGACCTTACACATCAGCATCTCTGTGCTCAGCCCTGCCGCGTGTGCTGATCCCGGGATGAGCTGAGTATAGGGCTCCCCAAGGGCTGAGAGCTGCCTGCCTGAGCTGGGGCTCGCTCAGTCAGGAGCCAGAAGCCCAGTCCCATAAACCTGCCCTGAATGATCCCGACTCCCGGCTGGCCTCAGAGACTCTGAGACTGGCAGATCCTTAACATGGACATGGGGCCTTCTCTCTGCAAAGAGCACCGGTGCAGAGGCTAAGGGCACAAGAGGACAGCGGCCGTGGGGTCTATCTTCCTTCTCCCAGCATGGCCCGTTTCCCTCCCCCACTCCCACTGCTGCACTTCGGTGCGCGGGCTGGGTCTCACTCCGTGTGGCTGTTGGGTCTTGCAGTGAGGCCTGGAGTCTGCCCGGTGTTACCAGGAGGAGCCGTCGGTGCCTGTGATGAGAGATGCCATTCCGACAGTGACTGCCCGGGCGCCCAGAAGTGCTGCAGCAACGGCTGTGGCCTGGCCTGCGTGGCCGTGAAGCTTGTCGGTGAGAGGCAGCGGATCCTCGTGCAGGGCCCATTGCAGATCAGTCCTTAGAAAGGCACATTCGGGTGGATTTCGAACCCGCTGTGTCCATAGAATCATAGAATCATAGAATATAAGGGTTGGAAGGGACCCCAGAAGGTCATCTAGTCCAACCCCCTGCTCGAAGCAGGACCAATTCCCAGTTAAATCATCCCAGCCAGGGCTTTGTCAAGCCTGACCTTAAAAACCTCTAAGGAAGGAGATTCTACCACCTCCCTAGGTAACGCATTCCAGTGTTTCACCACCCTCTTAGTGAAAAAGTTTTTCCTAATATCCAATCTAAACCTCCCCCACTGCAGCTTGAGACCATTACTCCTCGTTCTGTCATCTGATACCATTGAGAACAGTCTAGAGCCATCCTCTTTGGAACCCCCTTTCAGGTAGTTGAAAGCAGCTATCAAATCCCCCCTCATTCTTCTCTTCTGCAGGCTAAACAATCCCAGCTCCCTCAGCCTCTCCTCATAACTCATGTGTTCCAGACCCCTAATCATTTTTGTTGCCCTTCGCTGGACTCTCTCCAATTTATCCACATCCTTCTTGAAGTGTGGGGACCAAAACTGGACACAGTACTCCAGATGAGGCCTCACCAATGTCGAATAGAGGGGAACGATCACATCCCTCGATCTGCTCGCTATGCCCCTACTTATACATCCCAAAATGCCATTGGCCTTCTTGGCAACAAGGGCACACTGCTGACTCATATCCAGCTTCTCGTCCACTGTCACCCCTAGGTCCTTTTCTGCAGAACTGCTGCCTAGCCATTCGGTCCAGGGGGCATTCAGCTGGCCCCGCTGTGCCCCAGACTCGTAGGGACCCATCTGCCCTCCTGCATAGCACAGCCAGAGACCCTCGCCTGGGGAGTCCTGCACCCAGCCCAGAACTCCTGATGGAGCTAGAGCAGACCTCAGAGAGAGAGATGTTCAGACTTGAGCTAACGCCCAAGTGACAGAACCCACCACCCCGCCCTGCTCCTTGCTTCTAACCTGAAGATGTGGGGCCCCAGCTCCCAGCCACTTCTCTCAGAAATCCCTCTCCGTGCAGACAGCTGCAGACCGTGACCAAGTCACCTCAACCTTCTTGAGAAACTAAACAGATGGAGCTTCTGCAGTTGCTCCCTGCAGGGCAGCCTCCAGCCACAGACTCGTTCTCTCTGGCTCACCTCTGCCCCTTCCCAGTGTGTCCACCTGTCCGCAGTGAGCCGGTGCGTCCCTAGCCATAGACCGAGACCACTGGGCACTGAGGGACTCACTAACCGCTGGGGCTTGGGTTGCTAGTTACCCTGTGCACACAGAGGTGGCATGGCCCAGGGAAGCCTCCTTTTAACATCTTGGCAACATGTGCCCAAGCCCTGGGCTCGCTCTGTGCAAGGCACCGTTAACCCCATCCCCAGCAAACATCCCCTAGGGTGACCAGATGTCCCGATTTTATAGGGACAGTCCCAATATTCGGGGCTTTTTCTTATATAGGTGCTTATTACCCCCCACCCCCTGTCCCAATCTTTCTATCTGGTCACCCTAGCCTCCCACCTCTGTGATGCCCTGCCGGGGAGCGCTGGCGGGAGCTGATTCGCATGTGTGCAGCCATTTGCAGACGCACTACCCCAGCACTTTGCTCCTGAACTGCCCTGGCTGGTTCCCCTGGCTAGGACTCCACTCTCCTGGGCAGCCTTGCTCCCAGCGGAGGGACAGGCCAGGGCAGAGGGCGCACAAGTGATCTACGAGGGAGGCGGGTGCTGATTTCTCCAGCCCCTCGGTGCTGATTTCTCCAGCCCCTCCCTTCTCACCGCACTGTTTGTGTCACCCTTTGGCCTGCTCTGTCTCAGTGAAACCTGGAGTGTGCCCAGCCAGAGCCCCAGGGGCCAGCCAGGAGCCCTGTCTATCCCCCTGCGCCCAGGACAGTGACTGCGGAGGAGCTGCCAAATGCTGCCGCCTCCACTGTGGCCCCACCTGCCTTGCCCCCCAGCACGGTGAGTTTGCTGCCCCTCTCGGAGCCCGGCCCCACACAGGCGAGGCTCACTGCTGCGCAGGTGAGAGGCATTTGGGACATGTAGGCATGAGCCAGAACCCACCGCAAAAACACGTTGTAACGCTGCTGGTTCTGGCGGGATCCCACGGAGAGGGGCCAATTCAGGACAAATTGCTTCAAGCAGGGCAGCCACAGCCCAAGCCCAGGGGTCCTTTGCACACCGAGGCAAACCCAACCAGCCAGACAGAGAGGACTTCGGTCTCACCCCACTGGCTAACCACAAGTCACACAAGCAATTCCCTTAGACACTCCAGTTTCCCAGCATCCCCACCAGTGCCCCTCGTTATGGGGACAGATGGTTATGAAAACCAACACCCCAGTAAAAGAAAAAAGGTTCCCTCAATCCTAAAGGACCAAGCCACAGAGCCAGGTCAAAATACAAATCAGATCTTACCCTCAAATCACACTGTTGCCAATCCTTTAGAATCTAAAATCTGAAGGGTTATTCATAAAAGGGAAAGATAGAGAGGAGAGCTAGAATTGGTTAAATGGAATCAATGACATCCAGTAACGGCAAAGTTCTCGGTTCAGGCTTGCAGCAGTGATGGAATAAACGGCAGGTTCAAATCCAGTCTCTGGAGAACATCCCCAGCTGGGATGGGTCCTTCAGTCCTTGGTTCAAAGCTTCAGGGTCGCCAAGTCCCTCCAGAGGTAGGAAGCAGGACTGAAGACCAGATGGAGGAGCTGCAGCAGCTTTGTATAGTCTCTTGCCATGTGGTCTGTCTTCCTTTGTCCCAAGGACAAGCTGCCCATCCCATGGCCTGGAAACACCTCAGAGTTCTGTCCATAGGCAGGTCCCTGCACACCTGGCTGAGTCCCAAGGCGTGTCTGCCTTCTCTCAATGGGTCAGTTGTATAGCGGATGGTCCTTAATGGGCCATCAAGCAGACTAGGCAGAGCTGACACCAACTTGTCTGGGGTGTCACCCAGAAGCACAGCACAAGTTTGAAATACAGACAGTACAGAGCCAATACTTATATCTTTAAATACAAAAATGATACATGCAGACAGATAGCATAATCCTAATCAGCAAACAATAACTTTGTCTTAGACACCTTATTTGACCCCCTTTATACAAGGTTTGGTGCCACTACAGGACCCTGGTTGCAATAATGTTCTATACGGTCCCAGTTCAAGTCAATAACGTCACACACGTCCTGAATGGTCCCTGCTCCCCAGCCAGCAGCTCAGACTCAGGCCATCATTCCCGCAGGGAGCTCAGTCCCAGGGGTCTGGGAATGGGGACGTGGGGCACAGAGCACTGGGGGCCAGGGGGCAGAGGACATGGGCCCAGAGAGCTGGGGACTGAGGGCCATGAGGGAGCAAAGAGTGAGGCCACACGGGGCGGGAGCGCTGGCAGGACAGAGGGCACGTGAGCTGAGGCAGAGAGGGGACGGGCAGCTGAGGGCAGGGCTTGGGGCAGGGAGGGGTCTGGGGGAAGAGGACTGGACGTGCCAGGGCCCCAGCCAGATGGGGTCACAGGGCAGAGAGGGGGCGACCTCAGAGAGCAAAGGGCAAGGAGAGGCCAGGGAAGGTGCCGAGGCAGCAGGCCAGGGGACTGGTTCTGGGCCGCCCTTCAGGCCGGGCCTGGCCCATTTCCCCAAGGAGCCCCCTGCCTGCCGCCCCATTCCCGCATGGAGTCGCTGGGACTTGGCTGGGGCAGCTCTGTGACTGGGCAGGGCCTCACTGCCACGCGCCTGGCCTGTGTTCCAGAGAAACCGGGGCTTTGCCCAGCATTTAAAATCAGAGACGAGGGGCCGCCCCTGACGCTGTGCCAGCAGGACAGCGACTGCCACAAGAGAGACAAGTGCTGCAGGAGGGGCTCCAGCTACGTCTGTGCATCGCCCTCCCCCACGGCAGGTGAGACGGCACCTGCCCACGTGGGCTGCTCCAGGGGCACCCGCTGCCCACCCCGTCACTCCCTCCCAGGGGCTGATGGCTCAAGGGCCAGTTTCCTGGTGCAGGGGCTGGGATTCTCTGGAGCCCGTGACCTTTATGTGGGGGGTACCCAGAGTTACTGGCTGGAGCAGGGCACCGGGAGGAGGAGCAGGGAGGGACTAGAGGGACAGGCAGTGAGCAGAGAGCTCTGAGGGCATATGGGGAGATTGGGGTGCCCATGACAGGGGCTGAGGACAGAGGCAACCAGGCCTTTTCCTCCTAAGTTACCATCCTGGGAACGAAAAGGTCTCAGTGCAGTGGGTGGGGAAAGGCTGGAACTCAAGGGCTGAGGCTGGACTGAGGAGAGAGCAGGGTCTTTTGTCAGCCCCATTCCCTGCCATCCCCCCGATACCAGCTGGAGCGTTAGGGCTTGTCTGGATGGGGCATCACTGCCCTGTGACCGCTCTGTGTTGCAGAGGAACCTGGCGCTGGCCCAGCCGCCCCCGGGGGGCATGGTGGGCAGAGATGTCGCAGTGACCGAGACTGCCCGAGAGCAGAGAGATGCTGCAGCCATCGGTGCCACCAGGCATGCCCAGCACAGGGCAGCGGTGAGTGTCTGTCCCCGTGCTGGAGGAATGGCAGCGACAACCCTATGGCAGCATTGGGAATGCAAAGACAGGACCACACGAGCGGTGGACAGGAACAGGAACAGGGGATAGAGGCTGGGCCTACAAAGGGGCCTCTGCTCTCTGCCTGTCCCAGCGGGTCCATTTCCCTGAGGTCTCCTCTCCCTGCCCACATGGAGGCAGTAGGGGCTCATCAGGGTCCGACTGCCTTGGGCCACCCCGTGTTCCAGCCGGCAGCCTGCCCGGCCACTGGACAAGGAGCCATGGGGCCGGCGGAGAGCCAGAAATACTGCACGAGTGGCAGCGCCCTCACCCAGGAAGAGACAGTCCCACTGTGATGAAGCGGGACTGTTCTTAATGTTTCCTCTGAATATTGTGGGGGTGCCTCAGTTTCCCCCTAGGCAGTTCTTAAGTATCTAGGTGGTGGGAGAAGGGTGTATGATCGTTGCAGAGCCCTAGAGGGCAGGTGTGTGCAGGGGTCTGGCTCTGCAACGATCATACACCCTTATCCCACCACCTAGATACTTAAGAACTGCCTAGGGGAAACTGAGGCACCCCCCCACTGTTCAGAGGAAACATTAAGAACAGTCCCGCTTCGTCACATACACGCCCCACGTTTGGAGCCACAGCAGGTGGGGGCAGCGTGGCAGGCTCAGGCACACCCCCGGGCCGTCTTCAGGCCCTGCGCGGCAGCCTTGTGCCTTGGCCTGGGGTCCCACCCACCTGGGCTCTTTGCCTCTGAGGTGACTCGCCAGCACCACCGGGCCCGGGGAATCCCCCTCCCCACGGGCAACTGGCCCCCTGGTGCAGAGAGAAGGGCACACAGGGTCCCAATGACCCCCTGGCACTGCCAGTGAGCCAGCATCCCACGCTCCTCACGTCAACAGCACCCGGCTCCTAGCACCCAGCCCCTCCATCTGATCACAGGCAGCTTGGGCTAGGGACGCTCCCTTCCCCGGTGGGCTCAGACCCCTCCCTCGCCCCCCGGCCTCCCTCTGGCCAGCTCTGTGACTGCCCTTGGCCTCTTTCTGCCCAGGGAAGCCTGGATTCTGCCCCGTACGCAACGGGCTCTACGTCAGCTATGAGTGCGAAGCCAGATGCCGAGGGGACGGCGAGTGCCCCAGGGCCCAGAAGTGTTGCCTGCAGGGCTGTGACCACGAGTGCTTGGCCCCTTCGGAAGGTAGGAGGCAGGTTCAGATTGCCCTGCAGGCAGCCCCTCACCTGGGCAAGCGAGACGCTGGGGAGAGACAGGGCAGAGCCAGTCCCTGCGGGTTTGTCGGGGTGGCTGGGATAGGCCACCCTGGCATGTGCCCAAGGCTCTCAGACAAGCTCCCAGGCATAGGGCCACGGAGCCACCATGTCTGTGGAGACAGACAGGGCCCAGGGCTCAGCCTGCGAAAACAAGGAGCCCCGTGACTGTGACATCACGACAGAACGACCAGTGGTGGGGAGGGTGCTCGTCCCATCATGAGACCCCAGTGAGCCCCCTCACTCCTCTGCCTTCTGCTTTCCAGAGAAGCCCGGCATCTGCCCCCTGACAGACAGGATTGCGTCCGAGTCCCCCTTGTGCAGGTCCTCATGCGCAGGGGACAAGGAGTGTGCGGGGGACCAGAAGTGCTGTGAGAGTGGGTGTGGCCGGACATGCCAGGCCCCAGAGAGAGGTAACAGAGCGGCAGGAGCTGGGCTCCCCTCACTCCAGCATGGGGCTGTCACCCCCGTTAGCATCCACTGGAACTACCTTGCCCCGCTGGTGAATCCCCCGCAGGAAAGGGTTCACGCCAGCGGCTGTGGGCAAGGCGGGCGAGGGGCAGCTGGAGACCTCCCCACCCCTGCGCCAGGTGCTACCTGCGCTCCAGGTGTGAGCAGAGAGCACCGGGGTTGCAGCGCACCGAGGGGCCAGGAGCCCCGCCTCAAGCATGGGGGTGCCGGGCGCAAGGTGTGGAGCCTGCCGCTAAGCAGCCGTTCCACAGGCTTTCAGAGGAACAGCCGTGTTAGTCTGTATTCGCAAAAAGAAAAGGAGGACTTGTGGCACCTTAGAGACTAGCCAATTTATTTGAGCATGAGCTTTCGTGAGCTACAGCTCACTTCATCGGATGCATACCGTGGAAACTGCAGAAGACATTATATACACACAGAGACCATGAAACAATACCTCCTCCCACCCCACTGTCCTGCTGGTAATAGCTTATCTAAAGTGATCATCAGGTTGGGCCATTTCCAGCACAAATCCAGGTTTTCTCACCCTCCACCCCCTCACACAAATTCACTCTCCTGCTGGTGATAGCCCATCCAAAGTGACAACTCTCTACACAATGTGCATGATAATCAAGTTGGGCCATTTCCTGCACAAATCCAGGTTCTCTCACCCCCTCACCCCCCTCCCAAAAACCACACACACAAACTCACTCTCCTGCTGGTAATAGCTCATCCAAACTGACCACTCTCCAAGTTTAAATCCAAGTTAAACCAGAACATCTGGGGGGGGGGGGGGGGGGGTAGGAAAAAACAAGGGGAAATAGGCTAATAGGGAAATTTCCCCTTGTTTTTTCCTACCCCCCCCCCCCCCCCAGATGTTCTGGTTTAACTTGGATTTAAACTTGGAGAGTGGTCAGTTTGGATGAGCTATTACCAGCAGGAGAGTGAGTTTGTGTGTGTGGTTTTTGGGAGGGGGGTGAGGGGGTGAGAGAACCTGGATTTGTGCAGGAAATGGCCCAACTTGATTATCATGCACATTGTGTAAAGAGTTGTCACTTTGGATGGGCTATCACCAGCAGGAGAGTGAATTTGTGTGGGGGGGTGGAGGGTGAGAAAACCTGGATTTGTGCTGGAAATGGCCCAACCTGATGATCACTTTAGATAAGCTATTACCAGCAGGACAGTGGGGTGGGAGGAGGTATTGTTTCATATTCTCTGTGTGTATATAAAGTCTGCTGCAGTTTCCACGGTATGCATCCGATGAAGTGAGCTGTAGCTCACGAAAGCTCATGCTCAAATAAATTGGTTAGTCTCTAAGGTGCCACAAGTACTCCTTTTCTTTCCACAGGCTTTGTGCACCTCTGGGTCAGGATCTGCAGCTGCTGAGCGAGGCTGGGTGGTGGGGAGCTGCAACCCGCTGTGTCAGGCCTCTGGACTCCAGGGCCAGGCCGGAGAGCCAGCCCTAAGAATCCCCCAGTGCAGTTCCGAGGGGCCGGTGGGTGCAGCAAGATGGGCTGGCTGTGCCCTCCCCCTGGGGTGGGTCCCCACTGTGACACCCTCTATCCAGCAGCCTCCAAACCTGCCCTTCCCACCCTCTCTTGTCAGAGAAACCCGGCGCGTGCCCCAAGCAGAAGCCCTGGCAAACACTGGTGCCGTGCAGCGAGCAGGACGCCTGCGCTCATGACCGGGATTGCCCCAAGCAGGAGAAATGCTGCTTCAGCGGCTGTGCCATGCGCTGTGTCCCCCACTACAAAGGTACCCAGCTCGGCTGCAGAGACACCCCCCCGGGACCAGCCCCATTCATCCCCAGGCCAGACTGGCAGTCCAGGGAGAGAAAGGACCCTATGCCAGGGCAGTGCGGCAGAGAGAGGGTGGATGGGGGTGCAGGGGCCAGGAGTGAGCATGTGTCTGCAGAGGGCTTGGGCTGGAGGGGCCCGAGAGTCTAGCTGGGACCCTCCCCGTGGGCAGTTCTCATTACAAGTTGATATGGAGGGTCCCCCACCTGCCACGGAGGGGTTCATTGTCCCTCTCTTGTCCCCTCCCCCTCCCCAGAGCATCCCGGGGCCTGTCCCAGGGCAGAGGCCTGCAGCGACCCGAGGCAGCCCCGTTCACACCAGTGCCTGGACGACCATGTGTGCGAGAGACACGAGAAGTGCTGCGACACGGGGTGCCGCCGGGAGTGTGTGGCCGTGCGCACAGGTACGGGCACGCTCCCTTCCCCTGCCCTGGGGCTCCCTGGGCTCTGCACACCCCTGGTGATTGGGCATCTGGGCCCCCTGCTGTGTTACAGAGAGAGAGGACAAGTCTGGGGATGGCCCCACTGACTCGTGCGTGGACGAATGCAGAGCTGACGAGGAGTGTCCCAGAGGACAAAGGTGCAGAAGCAATGGCTGTGGCCGTGTCTGCCAGAAAGTCCCCCGAGGTGAGGCTAGACCTAGAGCCTGGGGGGCAGCATGGAGTGTGGGCCTGCACAGGCCATGGACTGGAGTGCAAAGGGGCACTGCTTGGTCGGGCCCACATGCCAGGGAAAGGAGCCTTGGTATCACTGTGCATGGGCAAGGGAGGGTTCCAGCTGCAGTCACCGCTCACAGGCTGTGCAGGGCTGATATGAAGGTCTAGCCCTCAGCATCAGGCCCTCTCCGGGGAGCCCTGCCCTGAATGCCAGCATTGGCCAGGTCTGACCGGTCCCGCCTCTCCCAGGTCCCAGACGTCAGTGTCTCTGCCGAATCTGGCAGGGGTGTTTCTCTCCTGGCCAGGACCCTTGTGCCCGCTTGGGTCGAGCTCTGTCCCAGCCAGGTTCTGTCCTGCCCTGGTGCCTGGAGTGCGGGAGGCGACATGCCTGACATCTCTCCTGTGGCTGGCTCGCTCCCCAGGCAGGGGACAGTCTGTGCTGGCCAAGTTGTTGCTCATTTATTTTAGTCGTTTGGGGTTGTCACGGGGTCCCCGGGCGATGCTCTGGAACTGCACCCTACGAAGCCAGTCAGGACTCCGGGGAAGTCTCCTCTCTCTGGGAGCAGACTGTCTTCAGGACACACAGCTCACACAACTTCCACCTTCCTGGGTCTGACCTCGGAGCATTCAGCATCTTCTGCCCCTCTGCGTTTCCCACAACCAGTCCGCCCAGGCAGGGTCCTGGGGAAGCCAGAGGGTCCTGCCCCCCAATTCCAAACTCAGATGGGACTCTCAGCCAGCTGGGAACACAGAAGGTTTATTAGACAACAGGAACACGGTCTAAAACAGAGCTTGTACGTACGGAGAACAGGACCCCTCAGCTGGGTCCATTTTGGGGGGCAGTGAGCCAGACAACCATGTCTGCACTTCACTCCTCGTCTGCAGCCAGCCCCAAACTGACTCCCCCTCCAGCCCCTCCTCCTCTGGGCTTTGTCCCTTTCCCGGGCCAGGAGGGCACCTGATTCCTTTTTTCTCCAACCCTTTAGCTCTCACCTTGCAGGGGGGAAGGGCCCAGGACATCCGTTGCCAGGAAACAGGGTGTCGGCCATTCTCTGTGTCCAGACCCCTGCACACACCTGCCCTCTAGGGCTCTGCAACGATCATACACCCTTACCCCACCACCTAGATACTTAAGAACTGCACAGGGGAAACTGAGGCACCCGCACACTATTCAGAGGAAACATTAAGAACAGTCCCACATCCGATGAAGTGAAAGGTCACGAAAGCTCATGCTCAAATAAATTGGTTAGTCTCTAAGGTGCCACAAGTCCTCCTGTTCTTTTCGTCACAGGGGTTTCTGTACCTGCGCTGCTGTGTGTTTATCCTGGAGGAAGTTGGTCAGAGCAGTGCGCCTGGCATGTGCAGCAGGGCACGGGGGGAGGTTTGGGGTGGCCCCTCGCTTCTGGGGGAGCTTGTTCCAGTCTGGGGCCAGCCTCAAGGCAGCTCTGTCTCCTGCCCCTACGAGCTTTACCCTCATGGGGCAGCTCCATCCCAGCAGTCTAGGCTTGGTTAGATATGCAGGGCCCAGGCCCTGAGCTCTTTGATGATAAGGCCTGGGACCTTGAACTGGAAGGGTCCCTTCAAGGGGCCTTCCGTCACCCTCGTTGGGCCCATTGCCATAGGTCCCCTGTTCCAATCTGGAGTCGTTAGGCTCCAGCAGGCCCGGTGTCTCATGGGCACATGGCCACTCTGTGTTGCAGGCGTCTGCCCAAGGCCCCAGGGCTTTGGGTCCTGCGTGGAGTTGTGCTTTGCTGATGAGGAGTGTCCCCGGGGACAGAAGTGCTGCAGCAATGGGTGTGGCCACGTCTGCATGACAGCAGTCACCGGAGGTGAGCTCAGGCTGGGTCAGCCCTGCCCCAGATGCAGACACTCCCCTCCATGCAGGGCCCGGAGGGGAGGAGGGGTTGGGGTCGCTCAGGGAAGGGGCAGGACCACAGCCCCATTAACCAGCCCTGGATGATCCCGCTGCCCCCCAGACCCCAGGGGCTCTGAGTTTCTACTCAAACTGCTTCTCTCTTTCCTGGGCCCTCTTCCCATAGGGAGCTCCCAGCTCAAGATGCTGAGGGCCGGAGTCGCTTCACTCCTAGGCTGAGCCCGTGTCATGGGGCTGTTCTGTGTTCCAGGGAGACTTGGCCTTTGTCCAGAGTCCCAAGGGGCAGGCCTTTGTGTGGAGCAATGTGGGGAGGATGAGGAGTGTCCCAGGGGGCAGAAGTGCTGCAGTAATGGGTGTGGTCACGTGTGCATGTCCCTAATCTCTGCAGGTAAATTTAGTCCCTCAGTGTTAGTGTCTCCAGAGCTGAGCCCTGCCCCACACACAGACTCTGAGCTCTCGGGGCAGGGCCTGTGTGTGGCCAGCGCCCAGCCCCACAGGGCCCTGGCCTCTCCGTGCCACTATCAGACATTGTGAAATGATTCCTCCTTGCCTCCCCTGCCGCATGCACCGAGAGCTTTTCTGTCAGGAGAGCAAGTGCTGGGAGGCTGGGTGAGACCAGCCCTGCCCAGCACAGACCGCTGGATCTGCTGGCATCTCACCTCTTTGCCGTGGCGTTCGTGGGACTGTGGGGGGCAGGGATCCTCCCAGCATTATGGACAGGGTCTGGGCAGATCCTTGGGAGATTTGTAGTGGGAAGTCAGCAGGATCTGGGGGAGCCGGGTGGGACCTGTCGGGGGTTTTATGGACACAGACACCCATACAGCTCAGAGTGGGAGCTCCAGTCATGAGGGGGGAGCCAGCTCACCCCGTCTGGAGGGGTCCAGGAGCCACGCAGATAGGTGGCTTCTCCAGCGGCAGCAGAGGGCCCTTTGAGGAAGTGTCTCCTATGTGTTGTCTTAACCCCCGTCAGGAAGCAGCCGAGGGAGCCCAGCGGTGAGCCACAGCTGAGTGCTCCCATGCACAGCGTGACCAATGGCCTTCCCCGACCTGGCAGAGTTCTCACAGCTTAACCCCCTCCCTCTTAGGGTGAAAGTCTCCTGCCGGCTGGGACCTTCTCCCGCCAGCCCCCGTCCGGCATCAGCCTGTGGCCAACCAACCCCTTCCCTTTCTCCTGCGTCCCCTGCGGCTGGAGTTACTGTGCCCTAGAGCATAGCTGGAGGGTCCTGGTCTGCTGCAGAGGGGGCGCTTGGCACCTGGGGGCAGGAGGGGCAGTTTGCAGGGGTCACTGGACTCCCTCCTCCGGCTGCTTCTCCCCACCCCAGCCTGGCAACCCCTTGCTCCCCGTCACCTCCTCTACCACAATGCACCCAGGATGCTGAGGGCCCGTCCTAGCTCCGCTGGGAGCGACATCCTCAGCAAGGTCCAGCCAGCCAATCAGAACATGGCTCTGGGCAGTCAGTGTCCCCAGCCACCCCTGGGTGCTGGGATTCATGGGTGCTACCACGTGCCTGAGTCCACCGGCCCCCTAACGCCCCCATACAAGGCCACCTGATCTCCTCCTGCTGCAGAAAAGCCTGGCACCTGCCCACCGGACCCAGCAAAGTGTCGACACGCAGCCCCCCCAGAGTGTGACAGTGACCATGCGTGCCCTGGGAGGAAGAAGTGCTGCTTTAGGACGTGTGCGATGCGCTGCATACACCCAGAGGAAGGTACCAGTTATGCAGCGAATCCCTGCGCACGGGGGGTGCAGGGCCGACGAGTGCTCCTGGCTCCGGCTGCACCAGGCCCATCGGGAGGGGTGTGCCATGCCCTGACAGCCAGCACAGATCACTGCACAGGTCTCATGCGTATCCAGGGCACCAGGAAAGGACCCGGGTACCTGGCTGCACCGGGCCCTTCGGGAGGGGTGTGCCACGCCCTGACTGCCAGCACAGACCGCTGTACCGGCCTCAAGCGTATCCAGGGCACCGTGCCCTGCTTCACCAGGGAAGGACCCGGGTACCTGGCTGCTTCCCAGCTTTCCTACGGGACAGGGAAACTGGGCACGGGCTGGTGCTGAGCCTGACACTCCCCCAACTCCGGGTTCCCCGCACAGAGCTGGAATGGGGCCAGCACAGGGTCCCCGGAGCATATGGGAAATGGGATTTTTAGCAGAACGTGGGGCAGGGAAAGGGGTAAGTCTGAGTCCAGTCTGTGCCCAAAGCTTCGAGGAGGGTGTCCCCTCGCCTGCCCGTGACCGCTCCGCTTGTTTGCGTTTCAGATGCTGTATAACGAGCGGGCCCAGCACCACAGGAGCTGAAAGGAAGCCGCCCCTTTATCACGGGACGGCCCATCGTTAGACCCCTTTCACTGGCCACGCCCTGCCAACGCAACTTCCAGACCCCTACAGACCCTGCAGCAATAAACTGAATGCCAGCGCCAGGCCCGAGTCTTATGTTCCCTGCCCAGCTGGGCGTTCTAGCCACCAGCCCGCCCGTCGCTTCCCTTTCGGGGCGCAGCTGAGAAGGTGCCAGATTTCCTCAAATCCACCTTGTTGGAACCACAGAGCGGAGCCGCCTGCAGGCCCAACGCCAGCCCCTGGGGCAGAGACGCAGCTTCCTGCCTGCTGCCACCTCAGCAGCGCTCCCGAGACCCAGTGTACTGCATGGGGCCAGCCCAGCCCTGCTGAGCCGAGGGAAAACGGGGCAGGGGGAGCGGACCAGGGATGAGTCCTGCCCCGGGAGCCATTATTCAGTTAGAACTCAAGCCACTCGCTGGCTTTGCCCCCCAAGCCCCACCCCCCAAGCACATCCTGTCCCGCTCTCTTGGGGCTCTGGAGAGCCACCGTAGCCGGGTGTGAGCGGAGCGCTCCCCCCAGAACCCAGGTGGGCACTGTACCTCTGCTCAGCTCAGCTTCCCGCTCCTGGTCCTTGTCCCCTTGGCGCCAGGAGGTGTCAGAGCTGTTATAAAACCAACCGAGCCGAAGGCAAAGGCCCTGTGCTGGGGGCTGCCCACAGGGCCCCCTGGGTCCTGAGCTCCCCTGGAAGTGTCAGGCCAGGCAGCTGCACTCAGCCACCCTAAAACAACACAGCACCAGTCGAAGGCTCCCGGGACAAAGGGGGTGTCCTCTAGGGACATCAGTTGTTATGGGCAAGGGGGGCAGTTATCCCCTCCAGACTTAAATAGGGCTGTATGATCCATTATTTCTTTGCTGCCCCACCCGACTAGGGAGACAATTATTAGGAAGGCAATAATTGCCTCATTCTTCTCATGCTGCTCTGTGGGGCAGGCGATGCTGTCCATGCCCCACACCAGAAATCTTCTGAAAAGCTGCCCCTGCTCTCCCACACTTAGTGCCAGTACTAGAGGTCTGCACTCCCCCTATACCCCCCCAGCCCATTGGCTGGCCATCTCCCCAGTTCTCTAGGCTGTGATTAGTTCCGCCTCCCAGTGCTTTAGGAGGCTGTTGTGGTTTCACTTGCCATTTGGGATAGGATCCCAGCTCACAGTTGTGAAACCCCAGCCACTGAGCATCACATAACCTAACCCCTGCAGTTTGACAATCAGCTGCCCCTAGCCTAGCAGGTGAGCTCAGCTCCAGCCTTGGAGCAAGCCCTGAAAGGGGCAACAGGCAGGGAGATCAGCAAAGGGACAGAGCTGGGGACACATTTCAGGCCAGGCACAGAATGGCACAGCTGATGTGGAGGTCCTGTGCAGAACCCAAACTGCAGGCATGAGTAATTTCCATATGTTCCCAAGCCCCTTCTAAAGCTCTCAGCAGAGACCTCACTTTAGCCCATATGTTTGAACCACCTAGTTCTACTGAGCCCTTAGCTGAGGCCTCAGTCCCTGCAAGTAAATCCCCCAGAGCTGCCAAACCCAGTCTTGGAAGCCCCAAGCACAGCCTAGCATCAGTCAAGGGAGCCAGGCTTGGAAAGCAGCTCTTCCCAGACAGCAACAAGCCCCAGCAGTAAGGGGAAGGGGAGGACTCACCAGTATTTATAGGGTTTGTTTCTCTGGCCTCACCAATCACAGGGCAGAAGAGTCCATTTGGGTCCAGAAGGGGAGCTCTGTCTTTGTGTGCATAGCTGTCTGCCCTGCTAATGAGAGAGGCCAGGCCCAGAACGGACTGGATTCTTTGTGGGTTGAAGCAGAACAGATCTGCAACCTGAGGGGGTTGATTTGGTTTTCCCATTTCCATTGGCTGGCAAGCTGGTTCCACCAACCTGCCTGAGTGGACTCTCCGGGGGGTGGAGCCAGAGCCTTTAAATTCATCTCCTGAGCCCAAATACCAGTTTGGTGGGGTAGGGACAGTCTAGTCTTGTCTTGTCTTCGCGAGCTGTGAGTTTGTCCGTGTCTGTTTGCTGCTATAAGATTCCCTATGTACCCTATTTCAGGGAGAGTTTTTCTGCTGGACCTGAGCGTTCTGGGGTGATAATGCCCCTGCACCTTGAGAAATACTTGCTAGCGCTATTTCGGTGAAGAAGCACCAGACCCCACCCGGAGGGGACGGGGTGATGACAGTTTATTTTTATTCTAGTGGTAGGCGAAGGCTTCCCCGGGATCAGGGCCCTTGTGCTGGATGCTGTGCAAACGCATACGAGACAGCCCCTGATGCAGAGAGCTCACGCTCCAGCCAGGCAAGACGGGGTGGCAGGGAAACAGAAGCACAGAGACCTGCCCAGAGTTGCAGTGCAGAGGTTAGAACCCAAGTCTCCTGGCTGCCAGCCCAGTGCCTTATCCTACCCACGTTGCCTCTCCCTGTAGCTGGGTGGGTGTCTGAACAGGGCAGGCCCAGCAGATCGAAATGGGTGGGTCTGACACGAAGGTTGAGACGGAAGAGTGGTAGCATCGCCAGTTAAAAGAACTAAAAACTCATGAGACTGTCTAAAGTAGGAAGTGCTGGGTCTCATTCTTTGTCGGCTGGGGCTGTTGCTCATGGGGCTACGTTTTCAGGCTTTTCTGCACAGCCGTTGTTTTAAATGAAGCTGAGATTCTCGTGCTCCCCTGACTCCAGGAGCTGGGGCTTCAAGGAGAACACATGCTGGCACAAGAGTCACGGTAGCGAAGGGCACAGAGCAGCAGGCTGGGAGGAAGGGGATCATGCTTGGCCTGTCACACACTGGGGCCTTGGCAGGGGACCCTGCTGCCCATATGCCAGGGCTGTGCACTCCCACTACCCAATGTGCCCTGGAGTCCCAAATGCCCCCACCCCCTCCAATAGGGAAGCAGGGGCAGAGTCTGCACTCCAGCCAGAGTTGTGTGCACAGCTCCCTCCTCTCCTAAGGGCACGAGTGACAAGACCTACTTCTGTTTGAAAAGGGTCAGTCCTTGTATTTAACCCCTCAGACCCTCACGAGGTCCCAGGGAAAGGGGCGTTTGGCTGATAGCAGCCCCTGCCTGCCAGCGCCGCGCTCCGTGCTGAGTGTTAACACGCAACACACACGTCCATGGCTACAGAACGGCAGCGGGGCTGGGCCAGCTCGGGGGCCGCGGGAGCTGGCTCTGCACCTGGGAGACAATGCAACCGCCTCCAGCCAAACCCTGCTGCAGAGGGTCTGGGGGAGCAAAGGTCCGGGCTTCCCAGGCAGGGAGTTGTTTCCCTCAGAAAGGGACAGGAATTGTGCCCGGGAAGACAGGCACCAGCCAGGAACAGCAGCTTCCTCTTCGGCTCCCCCACGCTGGCCAGGGCTAGGCAGTGCCTGCGACAGAAAGGCAATGCTGTCAGGCCCAGGGCGTGCCCACGGCACTTCTCCTTCCCAGCTCCCTCCAAAGATGGCCTTTCCCCCACCAGTGCTTGGGGGCGGTCCCCCCTCCCTCCCAGACTTGGGGGCCTGCTGCCATCCTGGGCGCAGAGTCCTGCCCTGAGAGGCCCAGGTCCCAAGCCAGCCCTGGGCTCCGCCCCGTGGTGCTGGGCCGCCCGCTCCATTTACCGGGCGGCCTGCAGGCCCGCAGACATTCCTCCTTTGTCTCAAAGTTGTTCCTGTTGCCGCCGCAGCCGCCGTACACAAACTCCTCGCAGGCCTGGCTGGACCAGTTGTAGAAGAAGCGAGGGAACCTGGCCTTGCAATAGCCGCACACCGAGGGCAGGTGGCAGAGATCTGCAGAGCAAAGGGTTGGGGGGCTGTGAGAGGCAAAGGGGGAGGCTCCAACTGCCCCTGCCACCTAAGGCCCCAGGCACGGGGGCGCTGCTCTCAGAGGGGCCTGCGAAGTGGGGTGGGGGTGGAGGGCAGCAGAGCCGTTCTCTTGCATACGCCCCTCGTCCCGTCGCCTGGCATCAGACCCATCCTGCCCCCCACTGCCCAGCTCGGCTACCCCAGGCCTCCTGCCAAGGGTCAGGGCCGGCCCCACCAGGGAAATCCGAGCCCAGGCGCGGGCTGGCCGCAATGCACGTCTCTGCCCATTAGCACAAAGGTGTGATGTGCTGGGAAGCCAGGGGCCGTGCCCACTGCTGGGGTGAGCGTTACACGTGGCGTGGCAATGGGCACGTTGCTAATGCCCCGGCCCGTTCACCAGGGACCCCACGCAGAGGACAGCGGGAGCTGGAGGCTGGAGCGAGTTAATGAATTGGTAGCAGGACCCGTCGGACAGGCTCGACCCAGCCGGGGAGGGACCAGGGCTTCTCAGAGAAGCCACTTCCCAGGCATAAGCGTCACCCCACAGGCGATAGGGAACCAAGGGACCCTCCACCCCCACCCCTGGGAGCGAGGGTGGATCAGACGCAGCCTTGGCTATGGGGAGGCCACATGAGGCCCCTAGAGCCAGAGAACGTCACGCCTCAGAATGGCCCAGCGGCCACGGACCTATGGCTGCAGGGAAACATCTTTGAGATTCACCCCCCACCCCAAACCGCTCAGGCTGGGCTGCTCCCCGGCTCCAAATCATGGGGCAAGCCCAGCTCCAGGCGCCCTCTGCACAGCAAGCAGCCAGCGCTTCCAGCACGTCTACACAGGCCACCCACTGTGGGGAGCAACGGTGCAGACTGGGGTGCAGGCAGGGCTCAGGTACATAAGTCCATCAGAACGGCCAGACTGGGTCAGCGCAAAGGCCCATCTAGCCCAGTGTCCTGTCTGCCGACCGCGGCCAGGGCCAGGTGCCCCAGAGGGAAGGAACAGAGCAGGGAATCACCACATGATCCATCCCCTGTCCCCCATTCCCAGCTCCTGGCAAACCCCATCCCTGCCCTGCACATTAGAGGCCCCGCCATCCGGCCGTGCTCTGAGCCGCTCCAGAGGATCCCGCACTGTGCTGGGCCCGCAGCAGTGTTCCCTGAGCGGCGGCATGTAGCCGGCGAGAGCAGCCCCGCGGGCTCTGCCATGGGACGCGGATGGTGGAATCGGGGCTCCCCCAGGTGGGGGTGGCACAGTCTCAGCCCTGTGCTTGGAGGAGGAGGAAGCTGTGTCTCACCCTGCCCAGCAGCAGCCCCCCTCCTGCCCTCGGGGGCCTAGCGCCCAGCGCCGTCTCTGCCCGTCGGGCTGGGCACTCTGCTCCGGGGGACCGGCCCAGGCCCTGGCGGCTCCTGAGGGGCAGGCTCATTCCCAGCTAGTGAGGCGCAGGGGCCAGGACCCCCGTACCTGTCACTGCCATCTGGCAGGTGTAGCCACACTCGTCCGGGCAGCACTTGTCGCCCCTGGGGCAGTCGCCATCGGTGCAGCAAGTGGAGCAGGTGTTGTTCTCCAGGCAGACACTACAGTTCTTCCCATCAAACACCCCCCCCACCGGGGCCACCTTGGAGCAGTAACCGGCCTTAACTGCAAAGAGAGACGGGTCAGCGCGCACTGACCGGGGGCTGCAGAGATCCACAACTCCACCCTGCACGGGAGTGGGGGGGCTGGGCACATGGGGGGGATCCCCAGATGGGTCTCAGGTCGGGTTTGGCTAGGCACTGCCCCCCCTCCCCAGGCACATCCACTGTCTGCCCCTCGTCCTGCACAGCCCATGGGCGGGCAGCTCCCATGAGAATCCAGCCCCCATCGCCGCTCCCATCCTCCGCGGGGGCGGGGGAGTTCGTCCCAGGGCTGGACGCCCCAAGGTGCCGCACCTGTGTGCTGGCCCAGCAGGTGCCCGCTCTCAGCACTCACCAGGTGCTGCAGTCGACCTGTCTCCCCGGGACGCAGCGGGCAGCTCGGCCCACAGCGAGAGCAGGGCCGCAAGGAGCACAATGCCAGCCGACTTCATGGTGCTGAGACTCTGGGTCTCGATCCTCAGGGCTGAGGCAGGGCAGATTTAAGCTGTCTGGCAAGCGGGGCTGGTGCGGCAGAGGGAGGGGCCGGCTCCCAGGTGGCCTGTCCGGACCTGTCGGAATCTGACTCCAGCTTATTCCATTCCACTGTAAGTGGTCCCAGGTACCCGCCCTGCCCAGCCAAGCCTTGCGCGGTCACCTGGGGAGAGCAGGCAAGGGGAGGAGCCAGCCGGTGGCACAGGTAAGACAAGGCTCTTCCTGCGAACTGGCTTGTCACTGTGCTGAGCCGCATGGCTGGGCCGTATGTCACCAGGGCCACTGGGGAGGGCAGGAACATGCCCCGGCCAGCGGCAGAGCACCCCGGTTATCTCCTGAGACCCTGTGCACCACGCCCCAGGGGATGGGCCCAGCAGATGGTCCAACCCCAGGTCAGGGGGGCCAGGAACCAAACAGGCAACCATCAGCAATGGTTTGGGCCCAAGACTCTGCCTCACTAATAAAATGGTGATGCCCCCCTCTTCCTCCCCCCAGCTGGACAGAGAGGAGAACAGGCTGCCAGGGCAGGAGGGGACGGGGCCCCCAGCACCACATGTCACTCCCTGAAAAGTGCAGGGGTTGATATTGACCAAGCAGCAAAGGGACACGCTGGGAGACCGCAGGAGGCTGGAGCCTGGGATTCTACTTCGGCTCCAAGAAAATCTATGTAAAGAAGCTGATTTGGTGCAGGGCTGATCTTCAGGTGTTCAGACCTCTGGGGAGGGAGGGCTGGGGGCAGGCAGGCCACCGCTTTACTAGCAGACACCTAGCTCAATTGAAAGGGAACAACACTCAACGAGTTTATTCTACAGCACTCAGTCGGGAGAGAGTCCCGGACAGAACACGGGGACCAGCTCCATCAACCCACCCGAAACCACAAGCCGGCTTTCCCCAGCAGTATCCCAGCCCCATGTACAGAGCCCGGCGCCGCAGCTCAGCCGGGCTCCTGGGATCTCCCACGTACAAGGAGCAAGCCTGGCGCCACCCTTCATTCCCACCCACACGCTCACATGCCTGTGTGGGAGGCTTTAATGTGCTTTGTGCATTTCAGCTTCCTGGCTGCAGGGCAGGAGAGCAAAACAGGTGAAGGACAAGATCCAGGCCGGCAGCCTCCTCCCCTCTGGAGCCTGGGACTCAAATATTCCCAGGGGCTCGGTCCCATCCTCACCCCCCGTATTTTCTTTTCACCTGAGCCCAGGGTAGACCTCTGCTTCAGGGAGGTGGCATGGCCACCAGCCTCTCCCTCGCCTCCAGTCTCTCTGGACCTGGAGCAAGCAGAGGGAGGGTTCCCTGTGTCCATCTCCTTCCCCGCCAGAGCTTGCCCAGCTATGCATGGTTCCTCCCAGAAATCAGCTGACACTGTGGGGAGGGGTCCCAGCCACTCATTCCGCCTCCCACACACCCCCAGAAATAAATAGCTCACAACTAACATGGGCGAGGCAGAACCTGGTACTGACTGAGGACAGTTTTAACTGTTTTCAGAGGAACAGCCGTGTTAGTCTGTATTCGCAAAAAGAAAAGGAGTACTTGTGGCACCTTAGAGACTAACCAATTTATTTGAGCATGAGCTTTCGTGAGCTACAGCGTTTGTTTAAAGGTGCGGGCCCTGAGAATTGCCCAACCAGCAGCACAGGTGATGCATGAACAAAGCATTCAAACATTTCCCTGGACATTCCATGGGGGAGAGAGAGCGTACGTGCCTCAGGTGTCTGTGCCCATAGGTTGCTGGTGCAATCTTCCTATTTGCGCTCACAACTGCACACCGAAACTGATGGCAAACACAGGCTCCAAGGGCCACCCACGCCCAACGCCTGTGGGAGGCACTGAGTCAGGTGCAGATGGGCCAGGGGATGTCACACATTGGTGCAATAATAATTATAACCGATACAAGAAAATGGTTAGTTGCACTCCGCGTACCTAACCTGTGGAACTCACTGCCACAAGATAGCACTGAGGCCAAGAGCTTAGTAGGATTCACAGAAGGGTTGAAGTATTTCTGTGGTTAATGAAAATATCCAGGGTTACATTCATTAGGGTTAGGTACAAACCCTCATTTCACGCCGTAAGCCAGCCACTGGCTGCCAGGGGCTAGGAAGAACATTGCCTGGCTTGTTGCTGCATAACAGCCCACTGCAGGGTTTCCACCACCTGCCTCTGATCAGCTGGGTCCAGCCACTCTGACATATGGGGCTAGCAGGTGGAGTAGAAAGAGAGCCTGAGACATAAGCCCTTGTTGCAGAGGCCCGATGTGAGGCCTGAGGCTTGGGCTAAAGAAGTGGTCAAAGTTTTGCTGATATAAAGCAAAGTCAAGCTGTGAACGAGAGGCAGGCCCGGCTCACAGAACCTGGCAAGCACAGGGCTGATATTGCAGAAACACATGTTCCTACAAGGTGCTGGGCACAGAGCACTCGCGCCAACACATTCCAGAAGGGTGGTACCAGAACACCCCGAGCCCAAGCGTGGTACAAACACATCCAGAAGGCAGTGAAAACACCCTGACCCCATGTCATAAATATAAAGGGAAGGGTAACCACCTTTCTGTATACAGGGCTAGAAAATCCCTCCTGGCCAGAGGCAACCTCCTGTTACCTGTGAAGGGTTAAGAAGCTCAGCTAACCTGGCTGGCACCTGACCCAAAGGACCAATAAGGGAACAAGACACTTTCAAATCTTGGGGGGGAAAGGCTTTTGTTTGTGCTCATTGTTTACGGGGTTGTTCTCTCTTGGGAGTGAGAGAGGCCAGACAGAAATCCATCTTCTCCAACCCATCCTGATCCAAGTCTCTAATATTGCAACCAGTATAAGTAAGCCAGGCAAGGCAGATCAGTTTATCTTTTGTTTTATGTGAATTTTCCCTGTGTTAAGAGGGAGGTTTATTCCTGTTTTCTGTAACTGTAAGGTTTTGCCCAGAGGGGGATCCTCTGTGTTTTGAATCTGAATACCCTGTAAGGTATTTTCCATCCTGATTTTACAGAGGTGATTCTTTTACCTTTTCTTTAATTAAAATTCTTCTTTTAGGAACCTGATTGATTTTTCATTGTTCTTAAGATCCACGGGTTTGGGTCTGTGTTCACCTGTACAAATTGGTGAGGATTATTATCAAGTCTTCCCCAGGAAAGGGGGTGTAGGGCTTGGGGGGATATTTTGGGGGAAGATGTCTCCAAGTGGGCTCTTTCCCTGTTCTTTGTTTAAAACACTTGGTGGTGGCAGCATACGGTTCAAGGCCAAGGCAAAGTTTGTACCCTAGGGAAGTTTTTAACCTAAGCTGGTAAGAATAAGTGTAGGGGGTCTTTCATGCGGGTCCCCACATCTGTACCCTAGAGTTCAGAGTGGGGAAGGAACCCTGACACCTCTCCTAAAAGGAAGGTCAGGAGAACAGTATAATCGATAAAGATGTTTTGATCGACCCAACATGTACAAGGTAATGGGTGGTAACAACCCACGTCAGGGCAGTAACTACCCGTGTCAGAGGCGCACCACGTAACTTGTTTGTATTGGTGTATAAAATGGAATCTCAAAGGGAGTGTCTCTGTCCAGCCTAGGCGGGAATGGAAAGCGCCCCCGTTCACTGAGCTGTGTCCATTGTCACGGGTATACATGGGCTAGTGTAAGGAGACACTGATATGGGGAACTAGAACCGTGCTTCATCAACAATAAACCTGGCCAGGTGCTGTCATACCTTAATGGATCTTGGGGTCATTGGGCGGTTAAATCGAGGTCTGCTGTGCCAGAAACCTGCACAGAGCTGGGACGACACACAGAGAGAACACACACACAGCGGAACAAGTAACTCCAGAGGGTTACAGGTCCACCTGGCAGTTCCTGTAGTCCTAACTCCCCTATAAACTACCGTGAGGCAGTGCTCAGACACGGCACTGAGGGGGCGTGGTGTAAATACCTAGCAAGGGAGAGAAAAAGACCTGCCGTGTCACTAAGTTAGGCCCATCCCAGTGGGGCTCGTCTCCGGAATTACTACATTTCAAAGAGGGAAATGGCTGCCCGCTGGTGAGAGCCGAAGATTCGATCTGGACGGGGCTGGACAAGTGCCACCTATTGGAAAGATCTGCAGAGCTCACTTGTGGCGGGTGCCTTGTAAGTCATGCATCACCCCAGACCTGTGGCAAAGCCTCCATGGCCTCTCCCGTGTGCCAAGCCACAGGCATGCTGGGCCACAGGGCTGGGGAAGCCGCCCTCCCTCCCTGATGCTGTTCACTTTCTTGTGTCATACCCAGTGGTGACACGGGCCCAGCCGGGCAGTGATAACAGTGGGGGTTGTCTCGGGAAGGCATGAGCCCGCTCAGCCTGGCCATGGGGCGCCCTCCTGAACTAGTAAACAGCGCTCCTGACTCGGCTGGGTTCCTGCTCCTGCGAGGCGGACAGGGCTCCAAACAGCCTGGGTTCGCCTGGAGCCGGCAGCAGCTCTGCAGGAACACAAGTGCCCCTGCCCCCTGAAGCAGGCACAGCCCAGAGGAGAGAGGGTGTCACGGGGATCCCGGGCAATGCTCTGGAACTGCTCCCTATGAAGCCAGGCAGGACTCTGGTGAGGTCTCCTCTCTGGGAGCAGACTGTCTGCAGGGCAAGGAGCTCACACGGCTTCCACCTTCCTGGGTCTGACCTCGGAGCATTCAGCATCCTCTGCCCCTCCATGCGCTTCCCACAGCGAGTCCGTCCAGGCGGGGTCCTGGGGAAGCCAGAGGATCCTGCCCCCCAACTCCACAGTCAGACGGGACTCTCAGCCAGCCAGTAAAACAGGTTTATTAGACGACAGGAACATGGTCTAAAACAGAGCTTGTAGGTACAGAGAACAGGACCCCTCAGCCGGGTCCATTTTGGGGGGCAGTGAGCCAGACAACCCCATCTGCACTTCACTCCTCGTCCCCAGCCAGCCCCAAACTGACTCCCCCTCCAGCCCCTCCTCCTCTGGGCTTTGTCCCTTTCCCAGGCCAGGAGGTCACCGGATTCCTTTGTTCTCCAACTCTTTAGCTCTCACCTTGCAGGGGGGAAGGGCCAGGCCACCAGTTGCCAGGAAATAGCGTGTCGGCCATTC